TCAAAGGTGTACTAAACTCTGGAGCTCTCCATGGGACCTGGGGCCACACGCTTGTAATCCCGACCCCCAAGAGGCTGAGGCAGGAGAATCACCTGCAGTAAGTTCAAGATCAGCCCAGGCAGAGCCTTGTCTCAAAAACGAAAAAAAGGCCGGGGATTTAGTTCAGTGGCTCCCGTGCTGGCCTAGTGAGTGCAAGGTCATGAGTTCAAATCCCCTCTAAAAAAGGGGGGGGGCAGCCCGCAGCAGGCTGGAAGCCACAGTAAAGGCCTGGGCGTCACTTGGCTGTTTATTCAGGGCCGGGATGGAACCCAGGGCTTCACACCTGCTAGGCAAGGCCCTGTCACCCAGCTACACCTCAGCCCTGACTTTATTTATTATCCTGGTGGACTCGGTCACGGAGAGGCTGCGACATACAGCACAGCGTGGCTGGTCCTCCAGGGCCCAGGCCGCATGGCGTGGGCTTCAGGGACAGGAAGCTGCTGGGACAGGGAAATCCAGGAAGCACAATCATGGATACCAGGGTGGGGAAAAGAGCTGGATGATGGCTGCTTTTAGGACAGCGAGACTGTAGAGTGTTTTGTTTCAGTTTTGATTTTGTCTCTTTGAGGCAGGGTCTCGCTCTGTGGTCCAGGCTGGCCTTGAACTCACTTTGTAGCCCAAACTGGTGTTGAATTTGCAGAGATCCTCCGGCCTCAGCCTCCCCAGTGCTGGGATGACAGGCCTGTACCACCACGCCCAGCGCTTTGTTTAAACACGGTCTTGCTTTATTGTCCGGGCTGGTTTTAATCTCACTGTGTAGCTGGGGCTGGCCTCAAACTCCTAGAGACCATCCTGCGTCAGCCTCCAGGCATGCACCACCATGCCTGGTTGAATAGCGCACTTTCAAGATTGAATATTTTAAAGCAGGCGTGGCAGTACAAGCCTGTAATCCCAAGCACTCAGAGAGGCTGACGCAGGAGGAGCACAGGCTCGAGCCCTAGTTTGGGCTCTTTAGTGAGACCTGGTCTCAAAAAAAAAAAAAAAAAAAAAAAAAAAATCTGACCTGCTCGTGTATGCCCATGATGTAAGCATTCACTCAGGAGGCTGAGGCAGGAGAGTCACTGTGAGGTGGAGGCCAGCCTGGCATATACACTGGAGTCAAGCCCCACTACAGCCTGGACAGACCATGAGGCCGTGCTGCTCAGGGAGCCGAGCCACACGCAGAGGGACACGCCCTGCAAGGTTCACTCCCAGGAGGCCCCAGTGTCCTCAAGGCCACAGAGACAGTGGTCCTAGGCAGGGGACAGGACAGAGGCTTGGTGTGGGGAAATAGAAAGTCCTGGAGGTGGACGGTGGTGATGACGGCAGATAGGTGAACCCACTTAATGCCTGAACTGGTCGCTTATGTATTAACACTATCATTTTTAGGGGCTGGGGATTTAGCTCAGCGGCATAAGTACCTGCCTTGCAAGCAGGCAGTTGTGAGTTCGATCCCCGGTATCAATAAAAAACGAAAAAGACAAAATATATATATATATATATATATATATATATATCATTTTTTTACCCTCCAGGCTGGGTTCCAACTTGGTTTCTCCTGCCTCAGCCTCCTAAGTCCTGAGATTCCAGGTGTGGACACCACACCCAGATCAGCAGTTCACTGGCAGCTACAGCTAGTGTGCAGGTATTAAAACACATCAGCCCTGGTGGGCACAGTGTGCTATTCAGGCAGCCGAAGTGCTTCCTGGCCATCCCCAGCCTCTCCCGGGACAGGCCCTGAGCATCATGGGAGAAACACCTGGGCAGCCGGCACCCTGGCAGCCTCTGAGTTCCAGGAGGATGAGTAGACACCTGGGTCCTTTGCACCTGGGGGCTAAGAGGCCCTGGGTGACGTCCAGTCCTGAGAGCACCAGGAAGTGGGAGGTGGAATCTGGTCTGGCCCACAGTCAGGTGTCCCCACCTTGGCCACGGCTGCCTCCGGTTCCACACCCCCTGTCACATCTCCTGCAGGCCTCTGCCAGGCACCAGCCTCCTGGCCCACAGTCCCTGATGCTGGGCACTGGGCAGCCTCTCAGGTACAGGTCAGGACCTTGGTGTGCCCTTACTGCCGTGTGTGGCCTGGGACCTGACAGTAAAGTCAAGTAGGAATATTCTAGGCATTCAGACAGGGCTGGGCCCTTGCGGGAGGCAGCGCAAAGCTAAGAACACATCTCAGGCCTCAAGATAAGGACAAAAAGAGCAGGCCTCCCCGGCTCCCCGAGGATAAGCAATAAATTAAAGATTGTGCTCTGAAGGCTAAGGCAGGAGGATCATCGCAAGTTCGAGACCAGCCTGGGCTACGAAGTGAGCCTAAGACCAGCCTGAACTGCCCAGGGAGACCCTGTCTCAAAAAAAGAAGGAAGAGGAGGAGGATGGGGAGGGGGAGGGCGAGGGGGAGGGGAGGAGGAAGAGGAGGGGGAGGGGAGGAGGATGGGGAGGAGGAGGGGGAGGGGGCTCATTAGTTAACCAGCTCCGGCCCCTCCCGGCTCTCTCCATAAATTGTTCTTAGGGTTCCCCTCCACTATGCTTCGATTTCGGGAACGGAGCGGGCTGAGTCCTTATTAGATCCCCTGTGCTGTTTGGGGTTCGCACCATGATGATCTGGGGGAGGCAGGAGCTTGGATTCAGGATTGTCACTCAGGTAACAGAAACTGTTATGCCTGCCTGTCACTTGTTTGTGCCTGCCTTTTGACACAGTTTATAATGGAACTGCAGGAGCAGGGGCTTCACCCAGGGGATTCTGCCCCCCGCAGGGGACACTGGGTGACATCTGGGGCAGAGACGTTGCCCTGAGCCCTCGCAGCGCCCAGGACGCCCCTACAGAGAACTAACTACGGTGGCTCGGGTATTTGGATAAAAAAATTAGCCGGGCGTGGTGGCGCACACCTATAATCCCAGCACTCGGGAGGCTGAGGCAGGAGGATTGTTGTGAGTTCGAGACCAGCCTGGGCTACACAGTGAGCTCAAGGCCGGCCTGAGCTGCACAGCCAGACCCTGTCTCAAAAAAATCCCTTCTGCACATTATCTAAGGCAAGCATCAGCGATAGTCACAAACTCCTTCTGGGGAAGACATGTGACCGGGGACGCAGGTCCCGGGACCCACCGCTCTGTCCCTCCTCCCTCAGCGGGGGAGGTCCCGCTGCAGGTTAGACCTGCCCCCCCCAGGGTCCCCCGCCCTGCAGGGCAGGACCCCCCCAGCTCTGGGGCGTGGATGGAGAAGGCGGCAGCTCCTGGGTCCCTTCGTTCCTTTTTTTTAAATCACCATGATTTGAAGCATGACCCCACCCTCCCTGCTGGGGCAGCTGCCACGTGGGCCCCGGCAGCCCCGCTCCCCGGACTGTAGCTCTGGGCTTTGGTTTCACTTTCGGGGCTGAGGCCGGCATGTGGGGGCAGCGATGGCAGGTGTCGGGGGCCAGGTTGGCTGGGGTCACCCGCTGTCCCCGGTGCATCCATCAGGCCCTTGCTCCCTCCCACTCCCGTCCTGACCTCTGAGGAGGGAAGACCAAGGTCAGACTCCCCAGGGGTGACCTTGGGCAAGAGATGAGACCTTCTCTGCTGTCCCTGGCTCCCCCTGAAGACAGGGAAGAGCGTGACTGATTCCACGGGGATGCTGGGGCGTCAGAGGACAGTGGGCGGGTGGACAGCCCCACGGGGTCCCCATGGGAGGGGCAGGTTGGGGGCTGACAGGGAGCAGGATGCAGGCACCTAAGGCGGCAGGCAGGGACCTGTGGCCCAAAACCAGCAGGAAGGCGGATGGGATCCAGGGCTTGGTGGGGAGCCCCGCTGTCCCCAGGCTGTGCCCCATGCTGTCCGGAGGCCCGCGCCTGTCTCCTGGACCACAGCTTGTTGGAAAATGGGTGTCACCGGCACCCGCCCTACCCCCACCCTCTGGTCTTTGCTGAAAGTTGGCTAGGCCACTCTGTCCCCCCCACCCCCGGCCTTGGGGACAGACACTACCCTGCCACGCCTGACCGGCAGCCACACGGAGGGCAGGGACAACAGGGACCACTCACCTGTGTCTCCAGCACCTCCACAGAGTCTGGGCAAGGCTGCCCAGGTGCTTGGGGGACTCGTCAGACAGGACAGGGGAGTCACCATTACAACCTGCCAGCCGTTGGATTTCAACATGTTTGGGAAGGGTAGGCCGCTGGCCTGTGTGAAAACGGAGAGGGCCGGGGGTGGTGGGGCACACCTGTCATCCCTGCCCTCTGGGAGGCTGAGCCAGGAGGGTGCCATTTTTAAGCTTTAGGGCGAGTGGGTGACTTAAAGACAGTCCATGGACAGCAGGAAATAAAAACTCGAAAGGGTGCAATTCAGTGCAAAGGCCCTGGGTCCAACCCGGACTGGAAAAAGAGGTGGGGCTGTGGGAGCAGCCTGGGGAGATGGATGGTTCACCGCCCTGCGCAGCCCCATCATCCTGGATGCTCCCACCCCTCAGCTCAGGGGCCTCCGCACCCATGAGTCCACTTCCTGTCCCTGGATTTGCCTGTCCGTGGAGCTCATGCTGCGGTCTCTCTCACCGAGCAAGGCGTCCTCAAGGTCACTGTGCACCTTGGAGAGTGTCGCTGCCTCGGCAGAGTGGGTTCTAAATCAGCCAAAGCCCAGTGCTCAGCTGGGAGGCTGAGGCAGGAGAGTCACTGGGAGATGGAGGCCGGCCTGGGCTACACAGCAAGAAACTTGTCTCAAACAAAACAAAACAACAAAGTGAAACCAGAAAAAAAAAAAAGAGAGACCATGTTCACACCCAGTAAGTTATGCTGGGGGTGCCGACATTTTCTGGGGGTCAGAAATATTCCCTAAAAATAAATTCAGCCAGGTGGCCTGGAAACCCCAGCACGGCAGGAGGAATGAAAAAGTTTATGTCCCACCTGGGCAACTTACTGGGACTCTATTTCAAAACGAGGGGTTCAGGTAAAGCCCCAGGGGGAAAGGTGGGGGAGGGGGAGACCGGATGGGGGTGGGGCGTAGGGAAACCTCTTGGGTGGCACTTCCTGCCCCTTCATGTGGGGTGAAGAAGGGGGATGTAGCCACTGGGGTTCACTGTTGCCCCCCCATCCGTGGGAGGTGGGGCTGCCCCCAGAGCCTCCCCATGTTCCCAGCCTAGTCAGTGACATCCTCCCCTCCCTGGGGCACAGGAGGAAGGTGAGCCTGACTTCCGCGGGAACACAGGGCAGGGCACACAGGACAGCTACTAGGTGGGGATCTGCCTTTATCTCCACAGGGCACCCACAATCCTCCTTCCTGTGTCTGTGGCTCTCACAGTTGAGGGGCCTCCCGCGAGGGGGCCGTGCAGTGTGCGTCCTTCTGGGTCTGGTTTGTTTCCCTGAGCAGCGTGGCCTCGCGGTTTGTCCATGCCTTAGCAGTGTCAGGATCCCTTCCCTTTTCACTTCTGAGTAATATTCCACACACAAATGGCCTGCCCTATGTCCGTGGATGGTTGGGTTGTTTTAATCTTTTGATGGTGAGTTCTGTCTCTGTGGTCACGGCTTGCCCGCTTTTTGCACACTCATGTGACTTCCTCTCTCTGGGCGACATACCTAAGTGTAGGACTGCTGGAGCATCCATATTTAACGTCCAGCCTGTCTCCTGCCCCACATTAGGCCCTTCACACTGAGCTACACCCCTAACCTTTTGAGACAGGGCGTCCCTCAGCCACCCTAACCCGGGCTGGGCTTGAACTTGCCAGCTTCCTCCCTCGGCCTGCCAGCCCTGCCAGCGCTGGCTCTGAGGTGACAGGCGTGGGCCTCTTGCTTTGGTCTTTTAGGTTTGCAGCAGCCCGGGACCGCCCCCAGGTCGGGTCACAGAGCCGGACCAGCTCACCAGGAACCCCGGGGCGCCCCGGGTGGGGTGGGGTGCAGGGCCAGGTCCCCGCCCTCGCCCTCTCGCACCTGCGCGGACTCCCGGGGCTTGAGCGCGGGTGGTGCTCGCGGCCCCGCCCCTCCCCTCCCCCTCCTCCCGGGCGAGCCAGGACCCAGGCCGCGCCCAGCCGCCTCTTCCACTTTCCTTCCCGAGTCGCACCGGGACCGCGGAGCGGGGCGCGCCTGCGCAGACGCCCACCTGGCTAAGGGGCAGGTGCGTCCCGGCACACCTGGCGCGCGGGGCGGAGGAGGGGGAGGGGCGGGCAGGGAGGGAGGAGCGGGGGGGGCAGGGGGAGGGCACGGAGGGCGGCCGGCGGCTTCTGCTCCAGCAGGCTTCGCTCCCGCGGCGGGCCCCGCTTCCCAGGAAGCCCCCGGTGGCTCGGCCTGCCCGGCATCACCGCCCCGCCCCAGGGCAGCCCTGGCCCCTGCACCTGCACACCCGAGCCCGGTGGCCTCAGGCGCCTCTGCCCGTCATGCCGGGAGCCACACGTGTCCCCAGGAACTGCCCCGTGTGTGTGGCGGGTGTGTCCGAAGTGTCCCGGCCGAGGGGCGAAGTGACAGGGCGGAGGGACGGGCTGCGCGGCCGCACCGAGCGGAGCCTGGAGCGCTGCGCCGGTACCGGGACGCGGGGACACGTGACGCCCCAGCTCCCAACCCGCTCTGGCTCCCCGGGGGTGCACACTGCTGGGGGGGGGGCCGGGGAGACTTTCTTTATGGGAAGGGCAAAACCCTTGCTTGGCAAGCGCTCACCACTGAGCTACACCCCCAGCTACCTGTACTTTTGAGACAGGGTCTTACCAAGTTGCCCAGGCTGACCCCCCATTGCTGACCTCTCTGCAGCACCGTCACGGGCAGCTGCGATGACAAGTGTGTCTCACTGAGCCCGGCCAGGTTCCAGGTTCTGCACTAATTTTTTTTTTTTGAGTCTCAGTATGTAGTTCAGGCTGTCCTTGAATTCACTGTGTAACTGAGTTTGAACTCAAGGAGATCCTCTTGCCTCAGCCTCCTGAGTGCCAGGATGATAGGCCTATGGCACCTCAGCTGGTTGCATACCTGTTTGTCTTTTTTTAATCTGCCCCACCCAGGAGCCTTCACAGGGTCAGAGGAGGAAACGCACCTGTCCCAGGGCAGATGGGTCCCGCGTGGGAGGATTCCACAGCGCAAGCTGGGCGGGCGGCGAGCCATGGCCCCTGGTTACTACAGCAAGTGTGGGGTTGGCGTGGGGGTCCTGGCGAGTGGGTGCCTCACATGCTAAGCTCATGAGAAGCGCTGGGTTCCATCCCAGCGGAGCATGAAGAGTAGAACCAGAGCCAGGAGTGGTGGCACCTACCTGGCAAGTGTGAGCTTGTGAGTTCGATTTCTGATACCAAAAAAAAGAGGGCAGCAAAGGAAGGCCAACAGGGAGCTGGACATGATCAAAATGTGGGTATATGTCTAAAGTGCCAGGATGTGCAGGCCCATCGCCCCTGCACCTGGGAGGCTGAGGCAGGAGGACCTGAGTTCAAGGCCGTCCTGGGCCACAGAGCAAGACCTTGTCTCACCAAAAAAAAAAAAAAGCCGGAATGAATCTGGGCAAGGCGGTGCACACCTGTCATCTCAGCGCCACCAGAGAGGCCGAGGCAGGACTGCCGCGAATACAAGGTGGGACCCTTGAACTACACAGAGAGACCCTGGCTCAAAAACCCTAAATATTAAGATACAAAATGTTCCAATAAAGACTCTCATACTGGGAAAATCATGAGCTGTTTTGGTAAACTGACACCAGGCAAATCCAGCTGATGCACTGGCGGACTGGCTGCCTGTGCCCTTCACTGTCCAGGTGACCTGGTTGCTGGTCACACCTCTGGCCAGCCACCGGGTGGATGGTAGCTTGGCCGGGCCCCCGGAAGGTGGGTCTTTGGGCTGCTGCTGTGTCCCTGGGGCGCCAGGCAGGCGTGGCTGGGGACTGGAGCCCGGGCCCTGCAGCCCAGGCGGGCGCTGGAGGCCCGGCTCAGGCCTCCGTCCCTCCGCCCGCCCGGAGTGCAGGGTTACTGGTAAGAGCGGTTCCCTGGCCCGTGGTCTGCCGGGCCGGTCTCACTGGGCAGCACAGAGCAGCCTTGAACCCAGAGCCTGCTGCGGGCCTCCAGGCTGGCTTCTCCAGGTTCATGATGAGTGTTGAGCTGACAATGGCCGGCGATGCCAAACCCTCACCCCTGCTACCTCCACCCTCTGGGAGGCTGAGGCAGGAGGATCCCAAGTTCCAGCCTAGACCGGGAAACTCACCACGGAGACCCTAAGAATAAAAAGGCTGGGGGTGCAGTTCCCAGCAGAGGCCTGGATCGCACCCAGCACCCCAAGAACATGAACAGAACCCCAGGACATGGCTGGGGAGGGCCCGGAATCACGGCCCGGAGTCTCACGGCCGTCGCAGTACACTTGCTGCTGGAAGTTTGGGCACCCAGAAGGGGTCTGAACCTGTCCGCAGGCCTGCTGTGCCCACGCCCTAGAAGGGTCATCCAGGAAGCTGCCATCAGAGCCCTGCCTTCCACAGAGGGCCTGGGGTGGGGACAGCGCGGCCCGTGGGGTGGGCTCCAAGGGGTCTCTGCAGCCTGGAACCCAGGGCAGGGCCTGCCGGGGCTGCAAGGCCTTGGGACAGCAGGAGACCCCACCACTTCGTCCAGGCCTGCAGCGAGGGCACCGTGGGGCGCTGCATGTGCAGGGCCGCTGTCTTGGAGCTCTGCTGGCTCTGACCGCACGGGCCGGGACCCAGGGCTTCCTCTGCAGAGCTGCATCAGCGCCGGGAAGGAGGTGGCACGGGGGAACCGGGCTCCTTCCAGCCGGCCAGCGGGCTGTTCGGGGAGCGCACTCTTCACAGAGACCAGCCCCTCCAGCCCCAGCACCGTCCCTTCCGGCTCCCCAGTCCCTGCCCCCAGCCCTGAGGTGTCAGGGAGACACAAGGCAACAGAGAGGCAGCGGGCACCGCATGCAGTTTCTTCTCGCTTTGTTTCATCGCATTGAGGCCTAAGGGAGCAGGGCCCGATGACCATGGCTGTGGGCACCCCTCCCCTGGGCCGTGGACGCCAGGGCTCCCGGGGTGCAGGGCGGGAAGCGAGGGCCTGTCCCGGCCTGAGTGCGGCGCGGGTGGCAGCAGGTGGCCGGGGGCGGCAGGGCGCTGTCACACGGCGCTGCGTGTCGGGGTGCCGGGCTGGTGGAGCCGCAGGGTCCTACAGAGCCAGCCGGCGAAGTCCACGGCCTCCACCTCAGAGCGCTTGATGAAGGCGTGGTTCTGTGGGAGAGGCAGGGAGGGCGCTGAGGGCGCCAGGGGCCGGGGGTACCCCACACTGCAGCTGCTGAGCAGCGTCCCTGGAATCCTGGCCTCTGTGCCAGAAGTCCCCCGGGGGTGACGGCCACCAGTGTCCCCAGCCTGCACAGGCAGGAACACCCCATGGGAAACACCCAACGTGACAGCTGCCTGCCCCCAGCTTGTCCGGCCCTGGGAGGCTGAGCCAGGAGCGTGTCTGGCCTTGCGACTCAGTGAGACCGTCTCAAAATGACACCCAGGACAGCTGGGACAGAGCTCGGGTGAAGGCCCCCCAAACCAACCGGAAAGCCTGGCTGTTTCGACATCTCCCCGCCTCCTCTATCTCTATCTGCGTCTGTACAGCGCAGCCGCGAAACACGTGACCCGGCAGGGGCCTTCCCACACGGACCCTTCCCACAGGCGTGCTGTGGCCCAGGCTGTCTGCTCCCAGCACAAGGTCAGCAGGCCGGCCACAGGGCTGCCTCTGCAAAGGGAGGAGCCACAGGGACTGAGGGGGGCGGGCTGTGCAAAGGGCCTGTGGTGCAAAGCTGGGGCTGGGTGTGGGGGAGCTGTATGCGGTCTGACCACAGGGCCTGCTGGCCACGGGGCGGGGGCCACTGAAGGGCGTGGCTGGCTTACTCAGAATGCCACATCCCAACAGCCTCGAGCTGTTTCTGGCTGTCTCAGCATCAGTGTTTGACATCTGCAGACAGCCTGGTTCTGTGCTTTTCTTTCCTGGTACTGGGGACAGAGCCCAGAGCCCTGCCCCTGAGCAGGGACCCTGGCCCTTTTTATTCTAGGCAGTGTGGCTAAGTTGCTCAGCCTGTCCTCAAACTTGAGACCCTTCTGCATCAGCCTCCCACAGTGCTGCGATGACAGGATCTGCCCCCAGGCCTGGCCCTGGTTTTCGTTCTTGGGGCACCTGAAGTAGCACCTGTAGGACACACGGGGACACTCTACAGTCTAGGAGGCTGAGGCTGAGGCAGGCGAGCCGTGCAGCTGACCACAGGCAGCGGGGCAGGGGTGTCCTGGCACGCGCTGAGGCCACAGCGGGTCTGGGGCCCTGCACCCCTCCTGCTGCGTCTCTGGGGGGATGTGCTGGGGCTGGCCAGGCCTGTGCTCTGCTATGGCACGCTCTGGGGGGTTTCCTGTCCTCTGAGGCAGGGTCTCGCTATGCAGTCCAGGCTGGCCTTGAGCTCACTTTGAAGCCCAGGCTGGCCTTCAAGTCTCAGTGACCCTCCTGCCTCAGCCTCCCGGGTGCTGGGATGACAGGCGTGTGCCACCACGCCCGGCTAGTTTTTACGAGTGACAGTGCTTTATTTACTGTAGTACTGGGGACTGAATCCAGGGCTTCAGCACTGAGCTCCATCGTAGCCCTTTTATAAATCCTTTTAAATTGTGATACAAGGTCTTAAAAAGTTGGTGAATTGCCGGGGATTTAGCTCAGTGGCGTAAGCGCCTGCCTGGCAAGCACACAGTCATGAGTTCAATCCCCAGTACCAAAAAAAAAAAAAGTTGGTGAATTGTGTAGCTGGGCTTCAACTTACGGTGCCCTGTCTCGGCCTCCCAGAACACTGGGATGCTAAAGAGTTCCAGCAGAGGGTGCTGAACCCGCCCTCCTCGGTTTGATGTGTGTGGGGAGCGGACAGGAGCAGGGGACACACCCAGAGGGCCCCAATGTGAGGCTGCCTGGCTCCCCTTCCCCGAGGCCCTGCCCTGGTCAGCTTCGGGCCCCCTCCCGGGACAGCTGGAGGCCCGGCCCCCCGAGTTGTCTTACCATGAGCATCTTCAGGTCTGCACGCTCTGCTGGGTTCTTAATGAGGCTGGGGAAGGGGACAAGAGGACACTCAGGGCGGCCACACTGTCCCGCTCCGGGCCCAGCAGGCCTGGACCCGGGCGTTTAGCTCTGCCACCCGGCCCTGCCTGCACAGAATGGCTTCTTCGCTGCCCTGGTGTCTGGGGAGCGGGCCTGAGGTCTGACGGAGGAGAGGAGACAGCAGGGACCCTGCTGCCTGTCACCATGCCACAGCTACTGCAGCTCAGTTCCCAGGAAAGTCCAGTCTGGAGTCAAAGTGGAACTTTAGGGGCTGGGGGTTTAGCTCAGCGGCATAAGCACCTGCCTTATAAGCAGGCAGTTGTGAGTTCGATCCCTGGTACCAATAAAAAGGAAAAAGACCAAAAAAAAAAAAAAGAATACAAAGTGCAACTTTAGCTTTTAACAAAGCAGCTACTATAAGGTCTGCAGCCAAGAGCAGCTGGGCCAAGGCTCCCAGACAGAGGCCCGCTGTGGTGGGCACGCTTATAATCCCGGCTGAGGTCAGGGGACAGCGAGTTCAAGCCCTGCCTGGGCCACTTAATATCTTGTCTTGAAAAATAAAAAGGGCCAGCATGTGGCTCAGTGCAAAGGCCCTGAGGTCTGTCCTGAGTACTGTAAAAGGAGAAAACCTCACACGGGGGCCACCCTGCGAAAGTGATGGGTTCTATTCTCTAACACATGGGTGATGGCCAGAGAAGTGGGCCTCCACCGTAGCCATGTGGTCCCCTGCATGTGTGCATAAGGGGCCATCACAGATCCCACTGGGATCCCACCCTTCCAAGGGCGGCGGGACCTTGGGATCAGCCAGGGCCTGCGCTGCCTAGGAAAGCCTGGGTTCAGAGGCTCTGCCTGACACCCACAAGGATTCCAGGACCCAGGGGACTGCCTGCTGTCTGAGTGGGTGGCCAAGGTCCGCCATGGCCCCTCAACTTACCATTTATTTACAAACTCCTGGAAGTCCAGGCTGAACACACCACTGGGCAGCTTGGGTGGTGGCTGTGGGGGAAGCGGTGGGCGGTCAGCCCTGAGGGCCTGGGCACTTGTCCCCTCCCCAGCCACCCAGTGCTGGGGACAACACCCCTGGGGCATCGAGTCTGCACTGAGGTCTCCCAGGAACCGTGTGGAAGGATCACCAGCTTCATGCTGGCATGGTCACATGTCCTGGGATGGTGGCCACCCCACAGGTAGCTGCCGAGGTGCAGGCCAGCCTGGCCACTCGGGCGGAGGCCCTGCGACCTCCCCAGGAGGATGTGATTGCTGAGCCTGGGCATCACTGCTGGGCACAGGAGACCTCGTCATCAGGTCTGCTGCCACTTGGCTCCCAACCAGAGCCAGGCCACAAACTCTCCAGGCTCTGCCCCGTGGGCCCCGTCCCCTCCACAGCGTGCACTGCCTGTGCCAGGGCGGCTCGGAGGGCGAGCAGCACACAGAGGTCAGGCTGGCTCCCCGTCCAGTGCTTGCCCACCAGCACGTCTCCCTGGGACTCGGCTGTGGTGGGAAATCGGGGTTCAGCTTTACTGTATTATCAGTTTCTTTCTGAAAGAGGGTCTGCTGTGGAGCCCAGGCGGGCCTTGAGCGCGCAGTGACCCTCCCGCCTCGGCCTCCCGCGTGCTGGGATGGCAGGGACGTGCCGCCCGCCCGGCTCCGCCTCTTCCTTTAACGCGTCCCTTGCAGGCCTCCCCCTCAACACGGGGCAGCTGAGGCGGGAGGGTCTGGAGGTCAAGCCCTGGCACCCACCTCATTCACAATGTAGTCTAGCAGCTCGAAGATGGCCATGGCAGGCCGACTGTCCACTCCATGACCTGCACAGCAGGGGACAGAAATGGGAGTCAGGGAGACAGTGACAGTGCCACTCCTGTGGCGGTGGTCACCGCTGTTCCTTGTACCAGGGACAGAGTCCCCCCGCCTGGCTCTTGTGACCGCTCTGCCGATGGTGAGTCACCAACTGAACAAAAGGGCCAGGTGTGCTGGTGTCGTCTCCCCAGCCTTCTGGGGGGCTGAGGCAGGAGGGGTGCATGTGAGCCTGGCCTGGGCAACTTGGTAACTTAGAGAGACCCTGCCTCAAAAAGCAAAAAAATTCAAGGACTGGGAAGATAGTTGAGGGCCGAGGCCCTGGGTTCAGTCCCCCGTACGGAAAACAAGCCCCAGTGAGCAGGAGGCCTGAGAAGTCACACGCCGCCCCCGCCAGCCTCCAGGTGGATCCAGAGTCAGCCCCTGCGCGGGGCGGGGGAGGGGGCCGGCCGCAGGCAAGGACGGCAGCGTGACCTTGCAGAGCCGCTGCTGGTGACAGCACAAGCCCCGCATGCCACTTGGAACAGGAGGCTGGCAGGGGGTGGCTGACCCCTGTCCAGGACCCAGCTGGCTGGGTCGGGGCTTGGCAGCTGGACCTCGTCGCCGCCTGCCCCCAGCCTGACGCAGGCAGGCGGGCCGGAGAGTGGCCGCCTGGGGCACCCCAAGGCGGGAGCTGGGTGCCACCTGGGAGTGGACGGGGAGGGGCTGGGGCTGCGGAGCACACAGGGTGCCGCCTGTCCCTGGGGTGAGGTCCTGGCCCCTGAAGGGCCTGTGCTTAGCTCAGGACCAGAGAGAAACCGGCGGCCTGGACTCTCAAACTTACCCAGCTTTAACAGAAAAAACAAAACCAAAAACAGAAACAAACAAGTGACCTGGGCCTGGGCACAGTGGTGCACGCCTCTGATCCCAGCCCTCTGGGAGGCTGAGGCAGGAAGACTGCACATTTGAAGCAGGCACTGGGCAACTCACAGCCAGAAATAAAAACGGCTGGCGGGAGCTGTCACCCGTGCAAAGTCCTGAGTTCAGTCCCCAGTACGAGAAACAAAAGCAAAACGAACACCGTCTCCCAGCAGCCAGGGGTGGGCCCATCTTTGGAGAAGCCCTCACTCGGCCAAGTGCTGTGTGAGGAAAGCCCGCCTCCGGCGGCTCCAGCAGCCCCGGGTGGGTCATGCCCGGGGTGGGGCCCACGCAGCCACACGCCCAGCGCTGAGGGTGGCCGTGTGAGCGTGCGGTGGGGGTTTGGCATGCTGCATGCCTCCTGCATGGTGACATGTTCTCCCTTTTTGTGCTTATCTGTGACACAGCCAGGCTGGCCTCCGAGTCTCAGGCACCCTCCCGCCTCGGGCTCCCGAGGGCTGGGACTGCGGGCCGGTGTGGCCCCCTCCCTCCTCTGCACGGTGCTGGCCGTGGACCCAGGGCCTCCTGCCAGCCGGGACACACTGAGGGCCGAGCCCCGCCCCAGCCTCCTTTCAACCCTTTAACGTTAAGCGCTGGGGGAGCCACCGTCCGATCCGTCCAGCTGGTCACAACAGGTGCGGCTGCCCTGGCCACACCAGGTCCAGGCGCTCGCTGCTTCCAGCTCTGTCCCCAGAAACCCCCGACCGTCTGAGGCCTGCTGCCAGGCTGCCCTGTCCCGGGGGACAGGTGGCGGGCGCTGAGAGGGGCCGGAAGCGCAGCTGCCGTCTGTCCATCGGCACACTGTGCCTGTCTGCAGGGTCACTGCCCACCCGCCCCGACTGACCGGATGTTGTGGGCCTACCTACCACTGATGGGGCGTCCGGGGGGCCGAGGCCGCGGTGAGATGCTCTGGGGCTGCCCTTCCGGGCTGTCCAGCACAGGCTGGCCGAAGATGGCCTCCAGCTCCTTGGCATCAGGTGGGGGGATGGGGTACCTGCCGATGGACAGCTCCACCAGGGACAGCCCCATGCTCCAGATGTCCGACTGCACCGAGTAGTGCGTACCCTGCAGCCGCTCCGGCTGGCGGGGGAGAAGGCACATGAGGTGGGGTGGGGGCGGGGCAGGGAGCCTGCCGGCCCTACCCAGGACGGGCTGCCCACTTCCCATGGCTGCACCCTGAAGAGCTGGGGACCAGCAAGGCCAGGTCCCCCCCACAGTACTTCCGGACGTGACCTGGGGCGAGGCTCCCAGCTAGTGCTTCTCCAGAAGCCCATGGGAGCCAGGTTGCTGGTGCACAGTTAGTATTATTTTGGGGGGGAGGGGGTTCTGGGGATCCAACTCACAGCCTCGCGCTTACCAGATAGGTGCTTGTGCTGCTGAGCTAAATCCCCAGCCCCCTTTTTTGACTTTCTGAGAAAGGATTCTGGGATGCGGTTCAGGCTGGCCTGGAACATAGGGATCCTCCCGCCTCAGCCTCTCAGTGCTAGGATTACAGGCCTGCTCCACCAGGCCCGGCACACCCAGCACTTCTGGAAGGGGTGACTGCCCAGGAAGACCAGGTTGCCCCTTTCCCGTGGGCACTCAGCACCTGCTCTTGTGAGGCAGGGCCCAGCACCCTGTCCTTCCCCAGGACACTGAGGGCCTGAGATCTCAGTTCAGCAATGAATCCTGTACTCGGGGCACCCACCCACCCCTGCCAATGGACAGCAGGCGACAGAGATGCGGGAGAGGGGGGTGGCACTGCTGGGGAGCCTGGCGGGTATGCAGGCCGGAGCTGGGACTCACAGACATGTAGGACCGCGTGCCCACAAAGGAGTTGGCCATGGAGTCGATGAGCTGCCCGCTGACCCCGAAGTCGCACAGCTTGATCTCCCCTCTCGAGTTGACCAGGATGTTGGAGGGCTTCACGTCTGGGGACAGGCGAGCGGGGCTGAAGGTGGCATGCCCAGCCCCCCGAGGCTGCTGGGCTGGGCTTGCGGGGCCTCCTTACCTCGGTGCATGATCTGGTGTTTCTCCCGGAGGTACGCCAGGCCCCGGAGCACCTGCGGGCCAGGGCGGTTAACAGGCGGCCAGGTGGGTAGTGGGGCTGCCACCCACCCCGCCCACCATGCCTGGGCCAGGCTGAGGGAATGGATTTTAGACTCGGACACAGGCCAAGGGGCAGGCCACAAGCCGCCCAGTCCTCACAGCACCTGTGGTGGCCGCACCTAGAGGAGGGGCTGAGTCAGGCCCGGGGGCACACTCCTGTGGCTCCACCACTTTGGGAGGCTGAGGCAGGCAGGAGGGTTACAAGCTCAAACCCAGCCTGGGCAGCTTCAGGAGACCTTGTCTCAACCAAGCAATATACAAAACGGCCGGGCTTGGAGCTCGATGTGAAGGCCTGGGTTTAATGTCTACAAAGAAAGTGACAGAAGCCCTTGAACTCACGAGGGAGCAGAGGCGGGCCGGCGTGCAAGCTCACGAGGACTCACCGCGATGCTGACTTTCCCCAGGATGTCCTCAGGAATGCGCTTGGCCTCCTTCAGCACCTGGTCCAGGGAGCCGCCGTCCTGGGGGCACGCGAGGAGACACCGCTGTGACAGCAGCAGTGCCCTTCTCAGAGGGCGGGCGGCGGCAGGCGCAGCACGAGGAGCTGCCCTGGGCTGGGACGAGGGTGGCCGTTCTGCCCCAGGCAATGCAGGGCAGGCCGGCGGCACCTGCCAGCCCCTGGCAGAGGCCAGGTGAGGACACAGAGGTGGGTCGGCCCAGAACACCCACAGGGAGCCAAACACCCTGTGGGAAAGGGGGGCTCCCAGGCCCAGGACCAAGTGGTGGCGACGGGAGCCAGAGCCAAGACTCAGCTCCCTGCGGACCCGCTGCAGGGGCCAGCCTAGGGCTCAGGCTGGCAAAGGCATCCTGCCCCCAATGCCCTCTCCCATGGAGGTGGGCGAGCTGACCCTGATGCCAAGGGGTCCTGCAGAGGGCACCCCAGAAAGGCCAGGATGGGGTTTGGGGGCACTGAGCCCATCTGCCATTGTGCCAGCAGGGAGCACACAGATCACCACCTGGGATGTGGCTCCAAATCCACCTAGTCTGCGACAGGCTGGCCAGCAGCCAACATGGGGACCAAAGCTCTGAGTCGCCTGCCTGTCTACAGGGCCAGTCCCAGGACACATGGAAGTGACATGGCCGTCTTCCGCTGTGGGCCGCCGGTCAGGAAACCAGAACCTAGACGGTGAAGCTGGGGAGTGGAAGTGTCCCCATCACACGCCTCTCTGGGACCCCACAGCGGCCCGCCCTCCTGGGACATTTCATTTCCTGTGGGGGAGGCAGGACAGGAGCCTGTGTCCTTTCTCTGCCCTGCACAAGCTCTGAGGTCCCTGGAGCCCACAGGTGACCTGGCCAAGCAGCTTTGGAAGGAAGGTGACAGTCACATGGCAAATAGGTGACGGGTGTGGCCGGGCGGGAGAGCTAGGGAGGAACCAAGCCAGCCAGGCTCGGAGCCGGCTGGGAGCCGGTTGGGCCGGGCGAGCAGGCGCCGCCGAATGTCGCATGTGACTGCAGCCGGAGCCCAGGGCCTTGGCACCGAGCTGCGGCCGGCCGTCTCATTTCTTCTTTTCTTTTGAGACCGAGACTTGTTAAATTACTACCTTGCCCAGGCGGGGCTTGAACTCTCAGCCTTCCTGCTTTGGCCTGGAAGACTACTTTTGGCTGGCTGTTTCTGTGTTGTCCGGCAGGGGATGGACATGCAGCCTAGGACGGCACTGACATGCTTTTCTGTCTTTCTGAGGCAGGGTCTCGCTATGCGGTTCAGCCTGGCCGTGGGCTCATCCTGTAGCCCAGGCTGGTCTCAAACTTGCAATGATCCTCCTGCCTCAGCCTCCCGAGTGCTGGTTTTTTTTTTAAGGCAGGCAGTCCCCAGGTAGCCCAGGCTGGGACTCACAGCTGAGCCCCACCCCACACCCAGCTTGCTCCGGGTTTCAAACAACTTGAGAAGAATAAAAAACAAAATAAAACAAAACAACAACGTCTGGGTTTTGTTTTGCTTTAAAACTGTACCCTCTGCTCCCCAGCTCCCTCTTACCCTTAACTGTCACAAATGTTAGCAGGACATATACTGGAGGGACACGGTGGCCTCCCGAGGTCACAGGTTTCTCCCTGGCCGTGGGGCTCGGGCGGGCACCCTGGCACCTCCACTCTGGTCCTCCACTGCCCCCCTCCAGGAGACTCTGTGGTCGTGACAGCCACAAATGCCGAGACTGGGGTCCGCGGACAGCGGGGGCGCCCTGAGCGCAGCAGGGTGAGCCACGGTCTGCCCGAGCTGTGACCCCACCTCACTCTGTTGTTTTGCACGGCCAGGCCGAGGCAGTGTGTGAGGACGGGGCTCCCTTTCTGTCTCTGCCTCTCCCTTCCTCGTTCCGCGGGTGAACCCAAAACTTCTGCATTGAGCTGCACCCCCATGCTCTCCCTTAAATTTGAGATGGGGTCTCGGTAAGTCAGTCACCTACTCAGACAGGCCCCAAACCCTGGGCTCTCCTGCCTCAGCCTCCCGAGTTCCAGGATTACACAGGTGCAACGCCACCCCCAGCGGGAGCTGACACGGCTACACCGACAGTGTGAGCCCACGCTGGGCCGGCCCGCCTCACACACTCCACATGCTTAGGGCGCGCTCAGCACAGGGGGAAGCAAACCGTACCGATCTGTGACCGATGCTACACACACGGAGGCGCGTGTTGCGCTGAGGCGGCGGCCTCTGCAGACACAGTGAGACACGGCGTTGGCTGGGACACAGCCGGGACCTCCTCCTAAACTAGGGACAGTCCGGCCGGGCGTGGTGGCCGGAGCCCTGCTGTCCTGAGCTCCAGGCACCTGGAGCCGCAGCCCAGCATGCGGGAGGCCGAGACGGAAGGATGCTGTGAGGCCGAGGCCAGCCTGGGCTCCATGTTGAGACCTTGTCTCCAAGGTTGCTCAGGGACACAGGGGTCCTGGGGTGGCTCAGCCCCTGCAAACAGTACTGGAGGTGGCAGGGCAGGGACCACTGCCAGGACAGGAGGTTACAACCCCCCCCCCCCCCGCCGGCTCAGCCCGTGTCAGCTCAGACTAGAAGCCCCGGTACCGGCACTGGGAGCCGCGAAGCCCCCGCTCCAGGGCAAGCACCGGCCCGCGGTCTCCGGCCCAGTAACAGAGACAAGGCAGACGCCAAGCAGGTGGATGGCAAACGCCGGGGAAGGCAGGGAGGACGGGTGGACGAAGCCACACAGGGCAGAGGGGCGGCAGCAGGACGAGGGCTGTCACCAGGTGCACGGTGGGCACCTGGCCCACCCAGGCCACAGCCTGACGGGCACTGACACCGATGTCAGCTGGCACAGGGGGCCTGGCACTGAGCTCCTCTAGGTGGCCCGTGAGTGACAAGGGCTGAAGGCCATCTCCAATGTGGAAACCTTGGCACACAGGGAAACTCGCAGACCGCCCTGGTAGGCACAAGGCCTGGGGTCAAGAGGGCAAGGGCACCCCTCTGCCCCTCCGGACTGGCCTGGTCCCAGCCCGCCAACCCTCAGGGCTGCTCCCTGGCCCCTGTCTTAAGATCAGCAGCCTCTGTGGTTTCCATTTTTAACCATCATTAATCCTGTCGGTGGCCGCTGGCACATCAGGCTGAGCTCCACCCCTCGCCTTTGTATTAAGTGAGATAGGACCTCGCTAAGAGCCTGGCCTCGAACTTGTGACTTTCCTGCCTCAGCCTCCTAAATGTTGGGATGACAGGGTGTGTGCTTCCACAGTGTACCCAGCACCTCCAGCTCCATTGGTGACAATGCAGTGATACACAAGGTGGGGGGATCCGTGGCTCCCCTCTCCTGCAGGGATCACCCCTAAGAGCGCTTTCTCCTGCCTTCCGATGCTGACCCTCAGAGACCCCGGAGCCTGCAGGGACCCCCACCCCAGGGTTAGGGCTGGACAGCCAAGCAGGGCTCTTGCTCAAACTTGCTTCCTGCCTTCCTTACTAAACTGTCGCAGGGGCCTGCGTGTTGGAATGGCAGCCACAGGACCCCAAGTGACGTGACAGCCGCCACATCCTGGTTTTGTAAGGGGAGCTGGCGACACAGCTGCTACCTGACACGGCTGGCCACACGTGTGGGGGCAGTGGCCGCCAACCACTTCTGATTCTGGTGCAGCGGATCCCATCCAGTATGGGGCCTGACAGCCCACCAGGGGCACGTGGGAGGCTGCCGGCTGCACAGCCAGGTGCCCGCACCCCACCTGGGCCTGGGATCCCCGCCTGGCTACCTCCTTGCCGCTCCGGAGGGGCGGGCGCCTGGGCACCAGGAGCTGCACCCCCCGGGCACCTCCCACTGTCCCGCCCCCGCCCCCGCCGCCTACCCACCATGTGCTCCATGCAGATGCTGATCTCGCCGTCGCTGTAGAAGGCCCCGTAGAAGCCCACGATGTAGGGCGAGTTGCACTCGTGCAGCACCTGCAGCTCGCGGATGATCTGGTTGCGGATGGCCGGCTTGATCTCCAGGTGGATGAGCTGCGGAGGGATGGGGCTGTGACGCTGGCCGGCCACAGCGTGGACCAACTCTGAGGACACCGCGGACGCTGCATGGGGCTCCACAGGCAGCAATGGCCAGGACAGGCGCAGCCAGGGACAGGAAGTGCACTCGGGGTGCCGGGGTATGGTGGAACAGATGACTGTCCACACAGGGCGGGCCACCGGGCAGGTGCTAACAGGAACTGCAGTAACGGACACACAGCACGGTGCACTTCCTAAAGGAGAGAGCTGCTGAGCCAGAGCGGAGCGGAGCGGACGGCCACCCCTCCAATCCCCGCACTTGGAGGCTGAGGCAGGAGGGTTGCACACTGGACCCAACCTGAGAAACATAGAACTTAATAAACCTGGACCTGGGGGCTGGGGATTCAGCTCAGCGGCATAAGCGCCTGCCCTGTAAGCAGGCAGTCATGAGTTCCATCCCTGGTACCAATAAAAAAGAAAAAGACAAAAAAATTTTTTTAAAAGATAAAAATAAATAAATAAACCTGGTCCTGAAATAAAAACAGACCTGGGGAGGCAGCTCAGTGAGACGGCCCTGGGTCCAATCCCCAGTACCGTAACGAAGCAGAACCCCAAGAGCTGGCTGCGTCACAAAGGAGGCACTGGGCCGCCTGTGAGTTACATCTCAGCCAGCTGTCAGACCCAGGGGTGACAAGGGCTCCACTGCCCCAGCCTGGCAGGGGTACGGGGAGCCGGGCTGAGACGGCGCAGCACCCGGCCTCGGCACTGCTGGAGGCTTCTCCTCCCCCACCGGGGTCCACGCGGACAGAGAGGACCAGCAGCAAACTCACCACTTTCCAAAGGCAAGAAGCCAAAGGGGCCTCTTGGAGATTCAGAAAAGCCAGGATAGAAAGGCCGCAGCTGCCACCAGCCACGGGGCCTGAGGGAAGGACGGGCCGGCCCCTGGGAAGACCTGTGCCGGGGGCCTCAGGCCCGTGGAGCTGAGGCTGGGGTGGCTGTCCACTGCCTTCGCTGACCACGCCAGCACCTGCCCAGAGCTGGCCTGCGCGAGAGCAAGCCAGGGCACGCGTACTGGGCAGCAGACGGCAGCCGGGTCAAAGCCCTGAAGGCACAGGCCAGCCCTTCAAGGACATCCCCCTCAGGGACACCAAAGGGACAAGGTGAGGGACAGAGAGCCGCCCGTCACAGGGCATGAGGGCACAAAGGGGCTGATGTGGAGTTGGGGGCAGTGGGGCTGAGCACGGCTGCAACTCAGGCTGCAGTGGGCAGCTGGGGCCTCCCCGCCCTCCCCAGGCAGCCCCACAGCTCCTGCTCCTGAGCGGCAGGTCTGGTTCATGAGTGCCATGGGCTGGACACTCAAGATGGCCCCAGGAGGCCACTCCACAGGGCCAGCTGGCGGGCAGTGTGGACGGGCCAGAACACCATTGTCCAAGGAGATTCAGTGCAAGCCCTGTATTGATTATAAATCACTAAGGTGATACTGTGACTACAAAGAAAAAAAAAGTAAAGCAGGCCATGGTGGTGGGACACGCCTGCAGCCCCCAGCGCTGGGGAAGGCTAAGGCAGGTCTTCCGCAAGTTTGAGCACAGCACGGACAACTTAGCAAGACTCCTGTCTGCAAACGACAAAGGGGGTTGGGACAGTAGGTCAAGGGAAGGCTCTCCCTCACAACCAGAAGCAAACGAAAATCAGCGGAGTGTGCTGGTGCATGCCTAACCATGCACCGCTACTAACGGAGGTTCAGGACACTGAGGCAGGACACTCATCTGGAATTCAAAGCCAGCCTGAGTTACACAGTGAGCTCAAGGCTGGTCTGAACTACACAGAGAGACCCCATCTCAAAAAAACCTAAAAGAACACCAAGGTAGGGGCTGGGGGTTTAGCTCAGCGGCATAAGCATCTGCCTTGCAAGCAGGCAGTCGTGAGTTCGATCCCCAGTACTGATAAAAAGAAAAAGACAAAAAAAAAAAAAAAAAAGAACACCAAGGGGAGTGGTTTCATTTCAGGTGGGGCATCTCTAATCTGAAAATCTGAAGCTTTTTTTTTGTTTTGTTTTTTTGCAGTGATGGCAGGGGGGGGGGGCGCCAGGGTCTTCCACATCCCCAGAGAGGGCTGACCACATCCCCAGTCACTAGGAAGACAGCCAGGAAGTTTAGCTATGAGCCATTTGAGATTAGGAAAGCGAAGGTGACAGAACCTACGCAAATATTCCAAACTCCATCCCAAAAACCATCTCAGCTGGGTGTCACGGCGCACACCTGTAATCCTAGCACCTGGGAGGCTGAGGCAGGAGGATTGTAGTGAGTTTAATTAAGGCCAGCCTGGGCTATGTAGTGAGAGCCTGCTTCAAAAACCAAACCAAACCAAACTCTAAACGGGAAAAGCTTCTGGCCCTAAGTATGGGATACTACACGGGTGTTTTGCTGAACTCAATATATCAAAAGAACTACTGCTGTTTGTTTTGTCCTTCTTTTTGGCAGCGCTGGGGACGGAGCCCAGGGCCGCTGCACGAAACTCTACCTCCAGCCCTTGGTATTTTCCGCTGTTGTTGCCTGGTGGCCCCATCTGCCCAGGGGCTGCCACAGCGACAGCCCAGCTCTGACGAGAACGTGACGAGCCAGAGGCTACACAGTGCAAAGCCCCCAAGAGCGCGTGAGACTTTACGGGAGAAGGCAGCAGTGTGGTCCTCAGCTCCCCTGGGATCCCGGAGTCCTGACCGGGAGACGGGAGACGGGGAAAGGAGTCGGGGCTTCCTGACTGCTGCCGTGTGCAGATGCTGTGGGCAAGAGGGGTTTCCACAGGCAGCGGCAGTGGCAGCTGAGCTTGGCTTTGCTGGTTCCGAGGATAGCCAGGTTTGTAGAGTGAGCTCATGGCTGTGACCAGAAGCCACTACTGAGAATTCCGGAGCCAGGCACGGTGATGCATGCTTGTCATTTTAGCATCTGGGAGGCTGAGGCAGGAGGATCTCAAGTGTGAGGCCAGCCTAGGCAATTCAGTGACTTGGGGAGGTCTTGTTTCAAAAAAGAAAAAAGGCAAAGGAAAAAAGAAAAAAGAGGGAGGGGGGGGCCTTGAGAGGCAGCTTAGTGGTACCTGGTACCAATAAAAAAGGCCTTGGCTTCAATCTCTGGTCCTTACAAAAAAAAAAAAATCTCACGTTGTTTCCACGAATGCTGCGGCCTGGCCCTGCCAGGTACGAACTCTGGAAAGAGGGACAAAGACTCTCCTGGTCACAGCCAGCCACTGGAGGGAGAGGACAGGGCGGATGCCACCCCCTCCCTGGGCTAGGTCTGGCATGATCCGAGCCACATCCTGAAGAATCACAAGTCACAGCCCACAGCCTGGGAGCTGGGATTTGGAAAGCACAAGGGTGACCCAGACCATATTTATAACAGTTATCAGAAGCGCGAGCGGCAGCCACAGGGGCAGTACAGGAGCCCCTCCCCGGGATGGAATCCCCTTGTCTCTTCCGACCTGACCCCTGTCCACAGTGGGTGCAGCGACGGTATCTGGGGACCATTCTGTGTGGCCCTGAGCGGAGAGCCAGAGAGGTGATGTGCTGGGAACTTTGGTGCAATGGAATCTGGATGCTCAGCCCTGACAGTGCCATTGCAAGGTTCTGCACCCACCCCAGACCCTAACCCAACTAGGCCGTGGGTTTCTGACCCATATGGCGGAACTGGATTTCCCCCTGCAGGGGGACTGATCTCAGGGCCTTCACTCCGAAGTAGATTCTCAACCCTTTTCCAGTTTTCAGACAGATCTGACCAAGTCACTAAGTCTCCCAGCTTGGGTCTGAATTTGTGATCCTCCTGGCTCAGCCTCCTAGTGTGCTGGGATAACAGGCATGGGCCACCACACTCACTATGATCTGGATTTAGATGCGAAAACGTGAGGGGCCAGCATCAGCTGTGATTTCCTTTGCAAAATGGGGGAGGCAGTCCGTGGTCCTGAGCTCACTGTGTGACTCCAGAACTGCACAGGTAAGGGCAGGAACGTGGGCATGTGACTTGGGACCCAGGTCTCCCAGGGGACCAGGGTCTGGGAGAAGCCTGAGGGCCCACCAGGGAGCAGAAATAGTTACAGATGAGCAAAAGTTGGAGAGTGTAGTTTTCTCAGGCCTTGCAATCTGGTGGGCTTGGTGACCTCCTGGCAAGTCACATGGCTCAGGATAAGCCCTGCAGCGGAGCGCACTAGGGCCACAGGACGTGGCAGGCCCACACTGCCCCACTCCTGCGCCGCTCTGCACCTGGACCTCTGGCTCCTGCAGCCCTGTCATGGCTCATTATGCATGGGGACACAGGCAGTCCACACCCAGCGCAGCAGGGGCCACCCGAAAGCACAGAGCACGGGGTGGGGTGGCCTGTGGCCCTGTGTACGTCTCTGCTCACCTTCCGGGCCATGATGAGGCCCGACGGTCTGTGCTGGACCTTGGTGACCACGCCGCCATTGCCGGCTCCCAGCTCTGAGATCCGTTCAAAGTCGTCGTCCTTGAGCTCGCCGACCTTGGCCTTCTGGGTGAGGAAGGCCTCGAGCCGCTTCTTCTGCTGCTCATCTAGTTCCAGCTCCTCCAGCTTCTTCTGCAGGTCCGCCAGGTTCGCCCTGCCAGGAGCCCAGGGGCCAGGGTCAGCAGGGACCTGAGAGTCCACACAGTGGCCATGGGCCAGCTCCCGGGAAGACACAAAAGGGACCTGATTCCTGCACTCAACACCTCACCAGCTAGCAACTGTTTCTTCTCTCTCTCTTTTTTTTTGGTCTTTTTGAGACCGGGTCTCACTGTGCAGTTCAGGTTGGCCTGGTGCTCACCTTGAAGTCCAGGCTGGTCTCGAACTCACAACAATCCTCCTGCCTCAGCCTCCCGAGTGCTGGGATTACACACACGCAACACCATTCTTGGAAGCCCTCTTTACTTTTTATCCTGAGGTAGGGTCTCCCTAAATTGCTAAGTTTCCTATGCTGGGCTCAAACTCGTGACCTGTAGGATGGGGAGCAATGATGAAGCAGAAGCAAGTGCAGAAGACAGAAACTGCACCATCTGCGCACGTGTGAAGATGGGCGCGGGAGGAAGGCTGGGCGAGGAATAACTAAGACAGTGGAGAGCATTTTCAGAGCATCAAGTACCGCCGCGCGCTCCTGCCACGCTGTTACACACTAACGCTATTCCTAGTATGCATCGCACAACACGCCCGCAGTTCCCAACCCCAATCAGCACCAGGCGAGCTTGTGCAAGCCTGTCCATCCCAGCAGTCTGGGAGGCTGAGGCAGGAGGATCGCATGGTTGATCTCAGCCTGGGCAACTTAGTGAGATCCTGTATTGAAATAAAGTATAAAAAAAGGGCTGGGGTGGAACTCAGTACAGAGGGTCTGGGTTCCATTCCTGGGTACAGCAAACTAATAAATTTCAATGGGTAACTAATATAAAAACACAAATGCTTGCTTATTTGAGTTTTCTGGTATTAAGCCTGAAACCCAGACTTGGCCCTGCACGGTTCCCAGGCTCCTGGACTTGGTTATGTCATAGAGGAAGGACTCCAGGGGTCCTGGTCACCCAGGTGTGCCGCCCTCGAGATGCCAGGATGGGCTAGCGGCACAAAGGGTGTGTCGGCAGGAAGCTTCAGGTCCTGAAGCTCTGCTGTTCTCCACTTACACAGCTGCGAGCCGGGACACATAGACCCGAGCAGCCGTAACCAGCCACTGGTGATGTCACTTGAGCTGGTGCTGCAATGAGCTGGCTGGCAGGCACCCCTTCCCGGGTGGGGGACACCTCGATGAGGCCCCACTGTCACCTGGGGAGGTGGAGCTTACGGAGCCACAGCCCCGAGAGGTGGAGCAGGCCTGCAGGGGCTGCTACCTTGCCGGAGGTCACATACCAGGAAGCCCCTGAGCCAGCGCTAGAGCCTGAGCAAGTGCCCGGAGCACACCTGTTCCACAAATGCCAGGATGTTGCAACGCCAAGACACAGAGAGGCACAGGAGGGGGACGAGGGATGACGCCAAGTGAGCGAACAAACGCATTATTCACTGCTGGGCTGGTGAAGCAGCTCTGATGTGACATCAAGGATGCGTCTGGAGCCAGCTGGTTACCCGGCAACGCTGGGATTACAGGCCTAGGCGCTGACACCTCCACTTTTATTCTTTAAGACGCAGTCTTGAGTCGCTCAGACTTCATTTGAACTTGTGATTCTCCTGCCTCAGCCTCCCTGTGTGCTGTGACAACTGACAGGCATGGGCCCCATACCTGCCAGCCATGGCCCTATGTCTGCTCTGATGTTTACCCACAACATACGCAACAAGAGACCCTACCTCGGAGGCTGAAGCAGGAGAGTCGTTGTGAGTTTCGAGTTCGCGACCAGCCTGGGCTACAAAGTGTGCTCAAGACCAGTCAGAACTATATAGCGAGACCCTGTCTCAAAAAGACCCCCCCACACACAAAAAATAAATAAAGAGTCCCTACCTCATTTGGGTTGAGTGGATCAGATCACCAAACACGTTCACATGGGGACAAACCCTAGACACCCAGGCTGGCATCAGGAACTGAGCTAGATATCACTGTGGTGTGACCCAGCCCTCCCCTAACTCTCAGAGACCCCTGTTTACTTCCTAGGATGCACCCCCACTCATCTCTTACAATGTCTCCCTTGAGAACTCCCTCACCCCATCTTTTCCCTGCAGGGATCTCCTTCAGCCTGATCTCATTAATCAGGAAACCTGACCTGGTCCTGTCGCTACCCCGATTTTGCACTGTGGGACCTCAGCCTAAGTCTCTCCCTGGGGACCACTCACCCCCTCCTGTCCTCTAAGAGACTTCCCTCACCCTAATTTTACTATTTAGGGATCGCTCACCCTCCTTTTGCTATTCAGGAGTAGCTGCGACCCATCTTTCCCTACAAGGCCACCCTGCATCTGATCCCATTATTCAGATCCGCCTCAACTCTTCCTCTCTTCGCAGGGAATCCCCGCTCGTCTCCATCACTTCACTCACAAACCCCTGATCCTATTCTTCCCCCTCACGAGCTCCGACCCTACTGCATTTTTCAGGGACCCCCTCCATTCCCTCCGCTACTCCCAGAACCCCTCCACCTTCACCTCAGCAGTCGGGGACCCCCTCATTTTGTCATCTCTTCTGCACCCCGGATCATCCCAATTTCCCTACTCGGGGACCCCACAGCCCATCTTCTCCCTGTAGTGTTCCCCCCTTCCCCCGAGCCTGGTTTCCCTACTCGGGGACCCCTCATCCTGTCCCAACCTCTCAGAGATCACTCACTTCCTTGCTCGGGGACTCCCTCCCTGTCTCCCCCTGCAGATGCATCTAGCACCCTGACTTTTCCTCCAGGGATCGCAGCACCCCGATATCGCTGCTCAGGGACTTCACTCATCTCTCCCTTCTTTCCACTCTGGACTCCCCCCCCTCACCTCCTGGGGACCCCAGTCACCCGATCTCCTCAGGCCCCGCCCCCTCGAGCCCCCAGCCCTGTTCTGAGAGTAGCGCGCGCCCGCCACTCACTCGGAGGCGCCCTCGCTGGTGGGGGACGGGCCCTCGGCGACGGTGGGGTTGATGGTGAGCGCCGGCAGCACCGGCTTCCTCCGGGCCAGCATCGGGGCTCCGCGGGCCGGTGGCGGCGGCGCCTCTAGCCGGGGCCCATAGGGGGCGGGCCGCGAGCGGGCAGAGCGGGCGGAGCTGACGCGAGCCCGGAGCTGCGGCCGCGGCCTAGGGCGGCGCCGGGGTAGCCAGGGGCGGGCGGTCAGGCGGACCAGGAGTGGGAGGGGTGCACCGAGGACGCCGGGACTGAGGTAAAAGCGGCCGCTGACGCCGCAGCCAGAGAGCCGGGAGGCCGAAGGAGAGGAGGGGGCGACCACGAGATCGCGCGCCGGGCTCTCGCGAGAGCAAATAAGCGCCGCGAGCTGCGACGGACCCCGCCCCTCAGGCGCGGCGGGTGCGCAGTCACTCGACTCCGCCTTCCCAAAGAGAAAAGGGCGGAAGAGACAGGAGGTGGCACTCCGTAGCCGGAGTGCGCGTGCGCATGTGCTTGGGGGCGGGGCGAGGGTTGTGAACGCGAACCAGGGGGCGGGCTGGGCAGAGGCGGGAGCGCCCGGGTCACAAGGCTTTAGGGCGGGGCCTGAGGGAGCCGAGAAAATCCCTGGGGGGTGAGAGCGCCACCCAGGTTCAATTTAGACTTTCTGTTTTTGGTGCTGGAGACTGTACCCAAGGTTTTACACTGAGTTACATCCCCAGCCCTTTTTTTATTTTAAGACAAGATCTTGCTACGTCCCTGAGATGCCCAGGCTGGCCTCCAACTTGGGATCCTCCCGGATCAGGGTGCTCCAGGGTGTGTGTCACCGCCTGGATTTGCTCTTTTTGCCAAATACGGGTTGCACACAGGCACTATCCCCTTAGGATATCGGTTACTCTGGTTCTGGCCCTGAGAGGGAGATTACGTGAGAACATTGAAGGTTTTTTTTTTTTAATCGGTACCAGGGATCGAACTCACGACCGCCTGCTTGCAAGGCAGGTGCTTATGCCGCAGAGCTAAATCCTTAGCCCTCGAACATTGAAAATTTTTAAAATTTATTTTACTTGTGTTAAAATTGTATATGATTGTTGTGATCATGCTAAATATTTATACTGCAATATAACAGAATATAATGCATACAAATATAGTATTTATATAGTTCAGGGGGTTGTAAGTGCGTTTTCAGGGTCGTGCAGCTGTCCAGTAAAAGTATCTACACTAAATACTAAATTCCCATCCCCATTCTACTTTATTTTGATTTTATTTATTTGTTTACTTAATGTTTTCGAGACAGGATCTTACTATGCAGTTCAGGCTGGCTTTGAATGCACAATGTGCCACAGATTGACCTCGAACTTGTGACAATGCTCCTGACTCAGCCTCCTGAACACAGGTTATGTGCCGCCATACCTGGCTCCCCGATGTCCGAGTAGTTTACTAAATTTAATTGTTTTTTGTTTTTGGGACAGAGTCTTCTTATGCAGTTCGGGCCGGCCTTGAGCTCAGTTTGTAGCTCAGGCTGGTCTCGAACTTGCAGCGATCCTCCTGCCTCAGCCTCCCAAGTGCCAGGGTTACAGGCATGCACCACCATGCCCAGCTATAAATTTATTCTTTTATCAGTTTGCAGAGCCCTTTGTGGGCGGGTCCTGGTACACAGTAGAAGCTGGTAATGTAGCTGAATGCTGGGGAATTGCTTAGCTCCCATGGGAGCCTGGTTTCCATCCCCAGCACTAAAAAAATAAAGACACGGTAAAATACATGTATCGTGTATTTTTACACAATCCACCTGTTCTCTCAAGTGCAAGTTTGTAAGGACAGCTGGGCTTTGGGGAGAAGTGTAGACGGGCGGAATTTCTCACTGAGGTGCTTTGCAGTTTGTACCTGTCCTCGGTTCCCACCCCACAGGGAGTGGCAGGACACGCACCTGGCCTCGGGGCAGCCTTACCCTTTTCTAACTCTGGGTGTGGTCCTGATTTCTTCCTTGGTGCCCACATTTCATTGGATTTTCACTTGGTCTGTGCAATCTTTTTATTGAGCTGTAACACTTACCGGAACTGCACCAATACCTGAATGCAGAATTCACCGAACTTTGACGGTTGTCTACACCTGCAATGACTATTTCTGTCCCCAAGAAAGTTTGCTCACTATCTTTTTAGTTAATCCTTCCCTCTGCCTGCAGCTAGCCAGCAACTGGTGTGTCGGTAAATGTTTAACAATGTGATTTTAAAATAAGAGAGAGAGCTGGGTGTGGTAGTGCATACCTGCCATCCCAGCTGGAGGAGGGAGGATCCGTGTGAGTTCAAGGCCAGCCTGAGCTACATAGTGAGAGAGAGAGAGAAGGAGAGAGAGAGAGAAAGAGAAGAAAAAGAAGAGGAGGGGAGGAAAGGAGAGAAGACGAAGCCAGTTTGTAGCATCTGCCCATCTCTGTGGTACGAACACCCTATTTTTCACGTCAGCAGAGTTTTAGCAGCTATGAACTCGGGGGAAAGGGCTGGTTCGGTGGCACAGTGCCTGCTGGGCAAGTGCAAAGCCCTGAGTTCAATTCCTGGTACAAAAAAAATAAACAAGATCTTGGGAAAGGGCAGGAACTGTGAGCACGTGTGTGGGCTGCGCCCTCTGCCCCAGGCATGAGCCTACGCTGTTATTAATTTTTATTTCGAGCCCCATGCATCAGGGTCTTTCTGATGTGTGTGGGGGTCCTGGAGAGGGAGCCCAGGGCCTTTGCACTGAGCTACACCCCAGCCCTTTTGATTTTGAGACGGGGTCTCCGTAAGTTATCCAGGCTGGGCTGGAGGTCCTCTGGCCTTGTCTTCCTGTATTCCTGAGATGACAGGTGTGAGCCACCGCCTGGTTTTGGACCTGGAATAGAGTGCTGGGCCGGTCGTGAATGTTTGTTGTTCTTGAGGCAGGGTCTTGCTAGGCAGCTCAGGCTGGCCTTGGACTCGCTGTGCAGCCTAAGCTGCCCTCAAACTCACAGCGACCCTCCTGCCTCAGCCTCCCAAGCACGACAGGTGGGTGCACCACTTCCGGTCAGGGAAGGCGGGGACCCCCCCCCCATCAGTCAGTCCAGCCCCATGTGGTACCTGGACAGACGGACGGGGCGTCCTTGCATCCAGTGAGGCAGAGCGGGTCCCTGACTCAGCTCTGGTTATCAGTAGGGAGCTTTATTGTTGGGGTCACAGGGCAGAAGCGCACCCCACCTCCTCTATCTTTGCCCTGCGACCTCCCCGCCGTCCACCTCTCCGCTTATCGCTGTGCCCAGTGACATGTTTCTTAGTACATCTATTCCGGTTCCCGAGGCACCAGTGTCAGCGAGCTACCTAATTGCTTTCTTGATAGTTTCCATCCAAGGTGACCTTTATCTTACTCGGGCACAGAGTGTGCCCTGTTGCAAGCGAGCATTCTATCTGGAAAGACAGCGTTATCTCTCTCACCTGGCCAACAGGGTAACTGCCAGAACGGAGGACCACGCCATTTTGCTTTTTTTATTTACTCAGGTGTCCCCCCCGCCCAAATAAGGTCTTGCTATGTAGTCCAGACTGGATTAGAATTCACTACATAGCTCTGGTTGGCCTTGAAATCATAGAGAGCCTCCTGCCTCAGCCTCCCAAGTGCTGGGATTACAAGTGTGCGCCACCACGCCCAGTCAGACTGGGCCACTTTGGAAATCAATTTAGTCCTGTCTTTAGTACCCAGCAACCTGGCAAGAGACGTCCTGTGTTTTGTTTTGTTTTGTTTTGTTTTGTGGTACCAGGGACCGAACTCATGAGCTTGCGCTTGCCAGGCAGGTGCTAAGCTAAATCCCCGGGCCCTATGTTTGCGACTTTTATGAAAGCCAAAAATTATTCCAAGTTTCAAAGTTTCAGAAAGGATAATGGGATGTTTCTCAAAAAATTAAAAATAAAATTGCCATGTGACCCAGTAATTTTACCCTTGGTTATTTGCCTAAAAGGATTGAAAGTTGCTGGGCCTGGTGGCCCATGCCTTGGGAGGCTGAGGCGGGACGATCACAAATTTGAGCCCAGTTTGGGCAATTTAGTGAGACCCTGTCTCCAAAGGGCTGGAAATGCCCTGCAGCTCAGTGGGAAGCCTTGGGTTCAATCCCAATACTGAAATAGAGAGAGAAACAGAGGCAGAGAGAAAGAGAGAGAGAGACAGAGACAGAGACAGAGACAGAGAGAGATTGTGGCCTGGGTTACCTGGGCTACACAGTGAGTTCAAGGCCAGCCTGAACTGTGTAGCGAGACCCCAGTTAAAAAGAAAAAAGAATAAAAGAAATTTTATGTTATGTATGTTTTCATAACTTTTAAAAACATATTCAATTTTTTTTTCGGTACCAGGGAGTCAACTCACGACCTTGCCCTGCCAAGCAGGTGCTTGTGCTGCTGAGCTAAATCCCCAGCCCTGCTTTGTTTTTCTTTGAGGGAGGGTTGTACTGTATGGTTCAGACCAGGTTTGAGCTCACTGTGTAGCCCAGGCTGGCCTTGAACTTGCAGCGATCCTCCTGCCTCAGCCTCCCTAGTGCTGGGAGGACAGGTTTGTGCCCCATGTCTGGGTCAAAATGACTTTTGTCAAGTCTGGTTGTTTTTGACACAGAGTCTCCTTCTGGATTGCAATCTAGCCTTGGATTCGTGGTGATCCTCCTGCCTCAGCTTCCAGGGTGCTGGGGTGACTGGCCCTTGCCATCATGCCCAGCCCCATCACACATTTCATGGAGGTTCGAGCTCCAGCAAACAAGCTTGGCTTCCTCCCTCCCCTGAGAGTGATTAAAACGGCCCGGACTGGCACACCACGTCCCGGACAGCAGCCAGGACACAGACAGGACTTCAGCCCAGCTGTGTGGCCAGCTGCTGCTCCTCGCAGGCCAGAGCCCATCGTTAAAACCTTAGGAATGGCTGTGGAGAGCTGTTAGGAAAAATCAAATCAAAACAGCCACGCTTGGTGGCGCACATCTGTTATCCCAGCCACTGAGGAGGCTGAGGCAGGAGGATCTCCAATTCAAGGCCAGCCTGGGCGACTTAGGGAGATTCTGTCTCAAAATAAAAGATAAAAAGGAGCCGGGGATGGCCACCAGCCTAAGGTGAAGCAGCCCCTGTGTTCCGTGATCGGTTCTGTCCCCCCCCAGTGCCCCTGAGATGCATCGGGTGGTGCTAAGCTCCGTCTCCCCCCTTGGGGCATTCGTGCCAAGTTCACCCTGAGAAGCGGGTGCAGGAGGGGGCGTTCATACCTGGAATTTGGCAAATGCTCTAAATAAGGTCCTGGATCTTTGCTTGCTTTGTTGGTTGGTTTGTTTTGAGTTGTTTTGTTTGTCTCTAGATCAAGGGTCAGCAGTTGGGCAGGGGTAAAGCGCCAGGCAGTGAGTCTGACCTGCTTTGCGGCCCGGCGCCCCTGGGCTCAGTTAGCAAACTAGGACAGCAGCTTCCCCCGACACCGACCCAGTGTTTGTGGTGTGTGCCAATAAAACTTTATTTTCATGAACAAGTGCTAGGTCATAGCATGGCAATTTGTGGTCTAGACTTAAGAAAGTGGAACAGTAAATAATGCAGACTCAACTTCAAAACGTGACATGCCGAGGGTGTGGCTCAGTGGCACAGCGCCTGCCTGGCAAGTGTGAGGTCCTGAGTTCAAATCCTGGTACCAAAAAAAATGTGCCAAGTCTGTGTGTGTGGTGGTGGACCCCTGTAACCCTGGAACAGAGGACACAGCTACTGCACGCCTGTCATCCCAGCACTTGGGAGGCTGAGGCAGGAGGATCATTGTGAGTTCGAGACCAGCCTGGACTACACAGTGAGTGCTCAATAGTGCACTAACTTATAAATATTCATTCAACAAACATCTATCCAGGGTCTGGATTGAACGAAGCAAAGAGCACAATCAGGAAGATAAGGATATTTCATTAAAAAAACATGGGCTAGCCAGGCAGAGTGGTGCAGGCCCTGTCACCGGGGTACTCTGGGAGGCTGAGGCAGGAGGATGAAACCAGGTGCTTCAGTACTCAGAGGGAGGAAGGAATGTGGGAAGCGCCAAGCAGGGAACAGGATGTGCGAGTCCGCAGAGGTCACGCAGCTCCGTGCAACTTCTGCAGCTCCTCTTGGGTGTTGTAACTTCGTCTCATGACCTGAGTCATGGCTGGGGCCGAGGCTGGGTCTTCCGGCTCTGCCCACGAAGCTCGATCAGCTCGGCTGGGAGGGAAATGAAAGGAATTAGATTGGGGGCTCACTGTGTAGCCCGGGCTGGCCTTGAACTCACAGCAATCCTCCTGCCTCAGCCTCCGGAGTGCTGGGATGACAGGCGTGTGCCACGACGCTCAGCGAGAGGGACACAGGGTGAAGAAGCGGGTTGGGGGTCGTGGGTCGCGGACCCCGCAGAGCTCGGGGTAAAGTTTGCAAGGGCGGGAAGCCGGGGCTGCAGTAGCCAGAGGCAGCCGCTAGAGGGCCCAAGGAGCTGAGTGATAGGCCCGCCGGTCCAGGGTTAGGAGTGGGGTGGGGGAGTCTAGGTCTGCACCTGGGGGACCCCTGCCACACTCCAGAGGTGGAGGCTTGGAGAGGTGGAAAAATTCGGGCGTCAGCTAGCAAATTCCACTGCCGTCCCCACCCCAGGTACTGGGGTTGGAACCCTGGACCTTTGCACTGAGCTACGCCCCCAGCCCTTTCATTTCATTGTATTTCATTTTTTTGAGATAAGATCTCACTGAGTTGCGAAGAAGTTGCTGGGCTGGGCTCAAACTTTGCAACCCTCCTGGCTCAGCCTCCCACAGAGCAGGGCTCGCGGGCAGGCACCGAAGCGTCTTCCCTAAAGAGCCATAACGCTACCGTCTCTGTGCAGACTTTCCCGTGCTGCCCCGTCTGGCAAAGGATCGTGCGTGTGAAGAAATCTTTCTTCGGGGCTGTGGGGGAGAGGCTGACTGGTAGAATGTTCAGTCCCTAGCACGTACAGCGCACACACACAGACCGAAATGTGAATGTCATATACAGTCTTCCTGTGAATAAATCATGAAATGAATTTTCTGTTGTTGTAAACCTTTAAAAATGTAAAAAATTTAAAAAAATATAAAAGTAGCACTCAGGGAGGCTGAGATAGGAGGACTGCAACTTCAAGCCCAGGCTGAGGTATTCAGCATCTTTTGATTATTTTTTGGGTACCAGAAATTGAACCCAGGACCTCTCGCTGGTCTGGCAGATATATATATATATATATTATTTATTTATTTATTTAGGTCAGGCAGCACCTAGTTATAATTTGAATCTAAAGTGTACTCCAAAGCTCCTGTTCTAAAGGCTTGCCGCCCCCCCCCACCCCCCCGCCAGCTTGGTGCTGCCGGGAGGTGTTGGTACCTTTAAGGGGTGGGGCTTAGCGGGAGTCTGTGAGTCACTGGGGGCGTGGCCTGTAAGGAGCCTGTGGGGCTTCCCAGGCACATGTGGGCTCCCCCCAATCAGATAGAGCAGAAAATGCTGCAGCAGCTGGCCGCGGTAGCGTCCCATGGAAATCCCAGTTCCTGGGGAGGCTGAGGCAGGAGGGTCTCTTTCAGGTTCAGCATGGCCATCTTAGCCAGACCCTGTCTCCGAAAATAAAACAAAACAAAAAATTGCAGCAGTCCACGCTCTGCTCCTTTATATTTCTAATCTCTGTGGTACTGTTTACTATTTGTACATTTATTTATTTGTTTTGCAATCCTGGGGATCCAACTCGGGGCCTTGAATTCTAGGCAAGTGCTCAACCACTGAACCACGTTCTCCTCCCCCCCCCCCCCCCCCCCGGCTTACAGTGTTTGTTTTCAAACTGTTTAAACAGGAGCATGTGTAAGGACAGCCCTGTCATTAACAGGAATCCTGTGCATGTTTAGCTCAAAAGATCTGGAAGCGACCTTGGCATGGTGGCGCACACCTGTCATCCTGGCATTTGGGAGGCTGAAGCAGAAGGATTGCAAATTGGACAGTTGAGTGAGCTCATGACTCAGAACACATTTGGACAGGATGAAGCCGAGCTTGGTGGCTCATGCCTGTCATCCTAGCATTCTCCTAGGAGGCTGAGGCAGGAGGATCACCTTGAGTTCAAAACGAGGCTGGACTATACATAGTGAGTTCAAGGCCAGTCTGAACTACATAGCAAGACCCTGCCAACAAAACAAAACAGGAACAAGGAAGGGATGTACCCCAAGGGTACAGCATTTGCCTAGCATGGGTCCAATTCCCAATACCATAAAAAATGCAAATTCATGTCTGTAAATAAAGTTTTATTGGCACACAGCTCCGTGTAACCATTTGCATACTATCCCAGGCTGTCTCTGCTCTGTAACAGCAGGGCTGAATATTTGACTGCTCTTCAGTCTGCTAAGCTGAAAATATTTACTTTCTCCAACTTTCCAGAAAACGTTTGTTGACCACGGGCTCAGATCAACACCGGTTTCGCAGAGCAGGTGTGTTTTATCGTCCACAGGGTTCACTATTTCCTGTACACGTTGAACCTAAAAGAGGCGGAGAAGCCGGGCACAGTGGGGCCCGCCTGTAACCCTAGCTCTTGTGAGGCCCAGGCAGGGGAATCCTGGGAGTTCAAGGTCAAGCCTGGACCACACAGACTCAGTGAAAACAAACAGCAGAGAAAATATCCCGCACTCACTGGGGCTTGGAGGATTGAAGGCATCCACTCACACACCAGCCTGGCATGCAGTAGGTGCTCAGTAAACACCCGCCCTGGCTTTGATTGGGCATTGGCCTAGGAGCTCACCCATGGCAAGGAACAGGAAAGGCAGGAGGCAGTTCGCATGTGTGTGTGCTCACAGCATGCAAACTGTAAGCCTATCAAAAATTTACTTCCCTTCTTGAAATCGAGATCCTCCTGCCTCAGCCTCCCAGAGTCTGGGAGGACAGGTGTGTGCCAGCGTGCCCGGCCATGCATCCTTCTCTGCTCAGTTCTTCCTCAGCAGAGCCCCCCTTCCTCCTGCGTGGACCCCAGGTTGCAGGGAGAGGGATCATTCCGACCTGGCATCTTTAACAGCCTGGGGCGGCCACCAGCGCGTCTGATTTCCGAGGGTTAAACATTAACTTCCGTGTTTGCTGCCGGCAGGGGTCTGATGTAACCTTCAGCTCAGCCCCCGCCTTCTGCAGCTGGGGAAACGGAGAAGAGAAACTCTCTCCGGACGAGCTTTGTGCACATTGCTGCTGAGCTAGGGCTGGGGTTTAGGTTCCTCTTTATTTTTTGTGCAGACAAACTAGGATGACAGGTGTGTGCCGCCAGGCCACGCCCTACCACCTTCGTCATCATCCTGGTAGCCAATGAATGTGAAGTGACTGACGTCATCCTAATTTGCATGGAAAGACTTCCGCTAGGGGCTGGGGGTGTGGGTGGGGCTGCGGCTGAGCTGCGGGCACTTGCCCTCACTGGGAGGCTCTGGGCTGCATCTAGCACTCGGGAGGCTGAAGCAGGAGGATCGTTGCGAGTTCGACACTAGCCTGGGCTACAAAGTGAGCCCAAGGCCAGCCTGAATTGCACGATAAGACCCCGTCTCAAAAAGACAAAAAACAAAAACAAAAACAAAAAAAAAAATCTTCGGACTCCTTCCGTTTCCCAAGCAGCCACAGTTCTGGCGATCCAACCCCAGGCCTTCACATGGAGCTACATCCCAAGGGAATGTCTCCCCCCCCCCCGAAATAGATCTGGAAAAGAATCCAGAGGATGAGGGATGAAGGGAAGTGGGGACTCAGTCCTCCTCTTCCTGCTGAGAGGTGTCGCTGTGACCCTTGGACCCACCAGCCATAAAGCAATCCTGGAGAGGCTGGCTAGACAGGGAGGGTGGGGACTCTCCGGGGGAAGTCATCTTGCTGTGGGCTGTAGACATGGACTTAAAGAACACAGTGTCCCTGGGTGTGGTGGTGCACGCCTGTCACCCCAGCACTCCGGAGGCTGAGGCGGGAGGATCGCAGCCTGGACTACACAGTGAGTTCAAGGGCTGAACTACCTCTGGAGATCCAGCCTCAGAAAAACCACACGGAACCAAAAGAAAACAAACAAACAAACAAAAAACACAGGGTGTCCATGCCAGGTCTCACAGGAGTTCCAGCCTGCTTAAAAACCTCAGCCCAGCTGGCACGCCCAACCCAGCCTCGCCCCCAGGATGAGGTCACCTTCCTGCCCGGTTCATTCCACTCCAGCCCATGGCTACTGCTCCATGTTCCTTCAGCCTCGGGGCCGCCGCGCTGGCTGTTCCCTGGGCTCTACACACTGTTCCTGGGCCCTCTCCTTTGTCTCCCTGGGCCTTCACTTGGCCACTAGATAAACCCATGTCCATCCCTGTTTTCTCTCCTGGCTCTTCCCCTCTTCTTTTCCTTTTTGGCACTGGGGGTTGAATCCAGGGCCTCACACTGAGCACCATCCTGGCTGGCTCTATGCTTTATTTTGAGCCCGGGTCTCCCTAAGTCACTAAGTTCCCCAGGCTGGATTCAAACTTGCAGCCCGCCTGCCTGGGCCTCCCAGAGTGCCGTGACGGGGCGTGTCCCTCGGCCTGGCTCAGGTTTTTCCTTTTGATCTTACAGTGCCGAGGATTCGTTATGTATTCCATGCTGAACTCAAACGCTCTGTGGAGCCCAGGCTGGCCTCAAACTCGAGGCGAGCTCCCTGCCTCAGCCTCCCGAGTGCTGGGATACCTGCGCCCACCGTGCCCAGCCTGGTGCTTGACAAGTTGAATGGGCTGGTGAGATGGATTCTTCTTCCGCTTTACAGATAAGGAAACTGAGGTAGCCAAGTCATTTGCACACAGTTGTACAAGCAGCAGGGCTCGGATTTGAACCCAGGTCTGCTCTGCCCTACCTTGTGCAACCGAAGTATCAGGTATAAACCAGGTACAGTGGCCTCAAACATGACCGCAGTGCCAGCGGTGGTGCTGCACGCCTCCAAGCACAGCACTTGCGAGGCTGAGGCAGGAGGATCTCTGTGAGTTCAAGCCCCGCCTGGGCTCTCCAGAAATTTAAAGGCCAGCCTAAACTACGTACTGAGATCCTGTCTTGAAAACACGCAAGCAAGCGAAGGATCAAAAACAAATAAAAAAACAAAACATAATGTGACCCCAGCTCCTTGGGAGGCTGAGACGGAAGATCTCCAGTTTGAACCCAGCTTGGGCAAATTAACAGGAATCTGTCTCAACACAGAAAATGCAGGATTAGGGGTGCAGCTCAGGGTCCAGCACTGGCCTGGCTTCCAGGAGGCCCTGGGTTCCATCCCCAGCACTGCAAATACATGGATAAATAAATCTCATATCGATCAGTGCAGATACAGAGGATCACGTCTATGTGACAATAAAGTTTTATTTATAAACACAAGAGGTGGTCCAGAAGTAGCCCTAAGGGTCATGGTTTCTCCATGGACCCCTGTTTGAAGTTATATTTATGCACATTTGACCTTTCCTTCTACAAGTACTAATAGAAAGGGTCTGGGGATTTAGCTCAGCAGCATAAGGGCCTGCCTTGCAAGCACGTGGTCGTGAGTTCGATCCCTGGTACCGACAAGAAAGAAAAGTATTAATAGATGGCTGCTATATAGCAGGCCTGGCTCTGGAGAGGGGCTGAGGCACACAGAGTCTCCTTCTGTCTCTGCCAGGTGTGGTTCACTATAATCCCAGCGCTCGGGAGGCTGAGGCAGGAGGATCCTTGCAAGTTCCAGACCAGCCTGGGTCAGAAAGTGAGCTCAAGGCCAGCCAGAACTATATCCTGTCTCAAAAACAAAACCAAACAAGGAACGGCCTGACTTGGGGGAACAAAAAGCCCACTCTCATTTCTCTGCTTGGGATTTTTGTGCTTTTTTTTCTTTCTTTCTTTCTTTTTTTTTTTTTTAGATAGGGTCTTGCTATGTCGCCCAGGCTGGCCTCCAACTCCCAGTGATCCTCCTGCCTCAGCCTCCCAAGTCCTGGGATTGCAGATGTGTGTCACCTGCTACCTGGTCAGGCGGTCAGGGAGGGCTTCCTAAGGAAGCTGAGTGGTTTTTTAAAAATTGGAGTCAAATATCTTTCATTATGCACTAAGCTAAAGTCAAAATGGATGGAGCATCTCGCTATTAAAACAGAGATATTGGGGCCGGGGATGTAGCTCAGTGGCACAGCGCCTGCCTGGCAAGCGTGAGGCCCCGCATTCAAATCCTGATGCCAAAAGTACATAGATAAAAAAATCAAACATTCAACCTGCTGGAAGACAGAGTCGTAAAACTCTTGAAGACATTGGTGTAGGCAGAGACTTGATAAATACAACTCAGACTGCACAGGAGCTGTCACCGAGAATCAACCACTGGGATCTCCTCTGGTTAAAAAGCTTTTACATAGCAAGAGAAACCACAGAGGGAAGAGACAGGCCACAGTTCAGGGACAAATGTTAGCCAGCTGGACCTCAGACAAAGGACCAACATCTAGAACATATAAAAAAATCCGACTCCCCAAATTTAAACACCTCATCCGAAAACAGGCATCTGAGATGCATAAATACTTCTCAGATGAAGAAACACAAGCAGCAAATAAATATATGACAAATGTTCCACGTCGCTGGTCATTCAAGACACGCAAATTGAAACAACCGGTGAATGGATAACAATGTGGTTCTTGTACCTGGTGGAGTACTACTCAGCCATGAAGAAGGAAAAGCTCGAGACACGCCCAGGATAGTAGACGCACCTTGAGTCCGTACTCTTAAGTGACTGAATCCGACACGTGTAGACGCTGCAGTGTTTCTCTGGTGTAAGAAGCAAAAAGTGTAAATAGGGACCAAAATATATGGTGGATATTGGGAAGCAGGGAGAAAATATTCAAATGGGGGAGGGGAACCAGGGAGAGGGCGGAGGGAGAGAAGGGAAAAACGAGAAAAGAAGGAAAACGTGGAAACAAAGCTTTCATCAGTGTGAGAGGAGGACGGGGCAGGGGAAGTTACACCACGACAGAGACAAACCCTCTGTGATGAATGCCATCATCATGTTTGTCTAAAATGTACCCATAGCAGACTGGGGGTACCAATAACTGAGGGGGTACGGCACCTGTCTGGCAAGTGCAAGGTCCTGTGTTTGATTGTACGTACCAAAATAAATCAATAAATCAAATGTTTAAAAAATGAATGGATAAAATCAGATTGGAAATTTTTTTTCTTAAATTTGGAAGCAGAAAATAAATAGGGAGTTGAGTCTGAGCAGAGATTTGTGGCTAAAAGGCGTCGGCCACAGGGAGATCCAGGAGAGAGTGTCCAAGATTGGGAGCCCAGCAAGTGCAAAGGTCCTGGGGCAGAATCATGCCCCCTCTATGGAGCACTGGATAACGAGGATAAGGTGGTGTCGGCTAGGTTTCTTGCTATTACTGCTACAAATACCTGAGATCATCAAGGGTCACGGCACATCGTGGCTCCATTTTGGAGGTCTCACCCCACAGCCTGTCAGCCCTGTTACATTTGAGCCTGTGGGAGCACAGGTTAGGAAGGAGCTACAGCCTCTTGATGGCCTGAAAGCAAAGAGCTGAAGGGGGGGGGTGTTGTTCCTAATGGTCCCCTGAGGCCACGCCCCCAGTGACCTCACTTCCTTCACAGGCCCCGCCTCTTAAAGGTCCCACTTCCTCCCAGGAGCGCCAAACTGAGGCCCAAGGGCGCCAAACTGAGGCCCAAGGGCCTTTGGGGAATTTACACACATAAGCTGAGGGAGCTGAGGGAGGCTGAGGCAGGAGGGTTGTCACGAGTTCGAGTCCAGGATGGGCTACCTAAGGAGACTGTTTCAGAAAGAGAGAGAGAGAGAGAGAGAGAGAGAGAGAGAGAGAGAGAGGTTCAATCCCAGCCCACAGGGTGCTCACATCCCAGGGGATGAGAATGAGGGAAGACTAAAAGCAAATGAAGAAAAAAACTGCAAATAGTTGAGGCTTCAACAAAAGCCCTGACATGACGAAGAGGGTGGGCACAGAGGCTCCTTTGCTGGGGACAGGAGACGTGGCTCTGCAGCTATTTTTTGATTCATTAAACGGGAAACATTTCCGAATCCATCACCATCCTGATGCAGAGAGAAGGGGAGGGAGGGTGGTTCCGGGTAGAGGAGCTGGCAAGTGCAAAGGCCCTGGGGCAGGAAACAGGTAGCTCAATAAATATTTGTTGACTAAATGAATGACAGATGCTTTGGGAAGAAATTGATTGCAGGGATAGGGCAAAGGGGGACACAAGGAGGGCGACGGCTGAGCACATCCCGGAGTGTGGACTGGAGGTTGTCACCAGCACAGGTGCCAGCAAGGAGCTCCAGGCTGAGAGACCAAGTTTTCTGCATCCTGTTCTGGGAGTTGACAGGACCGTTGTAGGGAACCTGGGCTCTGCAGAACCCAACATCCGGGGACACTGAGAACGACAGTCTCCGAAAGTAGGGGACAGGTCATGGCAGCGCTGAGACACCCAGACTTTGGCCTTTGCCCGGTTCAGCTGCCAAAGCACAAAACGCCCCGATAACTGTCTTCCCACCCCCTCCCCCGTGCGCCCCTGGTGACTGGCCCTTCACGCTGTCCGTCAAACCTGTCCACCAATCAGCACCCGGGGCCGGGCTGGGTTTTCCAGGGCACCTATTTCAGCATCTTTTAGGGGTGGTGGCCCGGGCACAGAGACAAGCGACGGCCACCCAGGGGACCTCAGCGGACGTGGCCTGCTGGGCCCATGAATGGGGTTTTAGCGGCTGGCAAGGTGAGCCCTGTTGGGGGGGTCCTGCGGAAGGGGGACCCGTGAGGTGGTGCTGTGGCCCCGAGACACAGGTGGGAAACTGAGGCCGGGTAGAGCAGGCAGGAGCGGGTGGCTCATGCTGCCCTCCCTCTCTCTAGCTATTGCAATGAAGCCTGCCCTCGGTGTGGCCCCGCACGCCTGTCATCCCTGCGCTCTGGGAGGCTGAGGCAGGAGGGTCCCGAGTTGTAGCGCAGCCTGGGCAATTTGGTGACTGAGCGAGACCCTGTCTCAGAATTTAAAAACTAGACAAGGGCTGGGGGAGGAGCCCTGGGGAGGCTCTGGACTTCATCCCCGGGGCTGCAAATAATCATGAAAGAAAGAAAATGAGCAGCCGGGCTCCTGCCCCACCCCCACCCCAGCAGGCACAGCTGCAGGGGGGGCCTCACCCCTTCTCTCCCGGTCCCAGATGGCGTCACCCGCCTGTGCCGTGGGCCCCATGGACAGCCTGGAGCTGCTGGACCTCCTCTTCGACCGGCAGGATGGCATCCTGCGGCATGTGGGGCTGCCCGAGGACCCGGTGAGCCCGCTGGGCCCTGGGGACCCCTGGCTGTCCCTGTGGGGGGAATGGAGGCTCAGAGACAGCCAGCGCCTCGCCCCGGGCCACACAGCCCCTCACTCCGGCCCTCTGTCCGCCCCAGCAGGCGCTGCCCGGCTCTGACTCCGAGGACTTCCTGAGCGCCATCCTGGGCCCCCCGGACTCAGCCCCCAGCTCCCCCACCTGGTCCCCCGCGGCCAGCGATAGTGGCATCTCTGACGACCTGCCCTCCGACCCCCAGGACAGCCCCCCACACGGCGGGGCCCCGGGCACCACCCCGGCCGGCTGCTGTCCTGCCCACCTCCCCGGCCCCCCAGGACCCCCGCGGACACTGGTGCCCCCCGAAGCCTCCGTGGCCATAGACCTGGGTGAGTCCCCGGGGACAGATGGAGGGGCCATCCCAAAGATGGGGTGACAGAGGCCGGTGAGGTTAAGCGAGAACCGAGCTGGTCACACCTATCACCCCAAGTCCTGGGGAGGCTGAGGCAGGAGAAATCCCCAATTCAAGCCCAGCCTGGGCAACTTAGCAGCTTCTTGAGACTCTGGCTCTAAATGAAGGCCCTGGGCTCCATCCCCAGCACCTCAAAAGAGGAAACCATAAAGGACAACATATCACGGGGTGTCCGGGCCTCAGGCCGACCCAGGGCTGGGGTTCGGGCTGTATCAGATGGCAGATCGATAATGATTTACTCCAGGGACATTGATCGGCACCCCAGGGGAGCTGTGTGGCCGCTGGTGTCCTTTGTCCCTTCTCTCAGGGGCTTTTTACTGGACAGTGGGTGACACAGAGACCCAGAGAGGGGCAGTCACTTACGGGTGGACGTCACCCAGCTCCTCCCTGGCGGACTGGAGCTGAGGCCTCCCGGCCGCGTGTGGCTCAGAGGCTGCGAGCCCACTGTGTGCCGGGTGCTGGGGGCGAATCTAGGTCGCCAAGGGGCCCAGGCTGGGTTCCAGCTTCCTACCCTCCTGCCTCAGCCTCCCGGGATGCTAGAGTGACCTGTGGGCACCACTACGTCCAGCCCTCATGTCCTGCAGTATTTTTGACTATGGGGGACAGACTGAGATGCACCAGGATGAATTTAAGTTCTGTCTCACCGCGAGGGGAAACTGAGGCAGAGGCCGGGCTGCGGTCCTCCGCCTGACCCCTCCCCTCTTGACCCCTTCTTTCCCAGCAGACATGTGGGGTGCAGGCGGCCTCTACCCCGAGCAGCAGGCCGGCTCGCCCTCCCGCTTCAACCTGACCGTGAAGGAGCTGCTGCTGGCCGGGGGCAGCGGGGACCCGGTGAGCGCTGACCGGGCCCGCACTGGGCGGGCGGCCTCAGCAGGAGGGGGACAGGGCGGCCCAGGGTGACAGAGAGGCCGTGGGCTCCAGCTCTCGGCCATGACCGTCCCCTGCTGGAGGCTGAGGCAGGAGGGTGGCTGCGAGTTCGAGGCCAGCCTGGGCTGCACAGCGAGAGCCTGCCTCAACACACACTAAAGACAGAAGCCGTGCGCGGCCCGGCGCGGCTGACCCCCGTATTCAGATGCTGAGCTGGGGACGGGCGGCCTCGCGACCTGCCCAGCCAGCGCTCCCTACTCTGTTTTGAGCCAGGGTCTCGCTAAGTGCCTGAGTCAGGTCGCCCCGGCTGGCCTGGAACCTGGCACGCTCCTGCCTCAGCCTCCCCCGGGACCAGGTGACAGGTGTGCGCCTCTGTGCCCTGCCCCGTCCTCGTGCCTTCTGGTCTTCCTCCTCTTCCTCTTCCTCTTCTTCGCCTTCTTCACTTTTGTTTCTTCTTTGTTGTCTTTTCTTTTTCTCCTTCGAGACACGGTCTCCCTGTGTAGTCCGGGCTGCTCTCTAATTCTCAGCAGCCCTCCTGCCTCAGCCTCCCGAGCGCTGGGAGCACGGGGAGCGCCACTGGGAGGACGGGGAGCACCACGGGGAGCGCCACTGGGAGCACGAGGAGCGCCACTGGGAGGACGGGGAGCACCACTGGGAGGACGGAGAGTGCCACCACGCCCGGCAGCACTTTCATTCCCTAACCCAACCCGGCATCTCGGTGACCGCCCACCTCAGGACAAGGTGTCCTGCTCCATCTCCTCCTCCATCTCCTCCATCTCCTCCTCCTCCTCCATCTCCTCCATCTTTTCCTCCTCCATCTTCTCCTCCTCCTCCTCCATCTTCTCCTCCTCCTCCTCCATCTCCTCCTCCTCCATCTCCTCCTCCTCCATCTCCTCCTCCTCCATCTCCTCCTCCATCTCCTCCTTCTCCCCCTCTTCCCTCTGGCCCGTGGCATGGACGGGCCACGCCTGCCCATCCTGCTCTCTGTTTGCCTCCTTTTCCTCTCTTACTGGGCTGTGCACCAGCCTGGAACAGTGCCTGGCACATAGTAGGTGCTCAGGAAACAGCTGTCAGTGATTTTTGTGGGCGACTGTTGCACCTATCTCCCCTGTCCCTGGGAGACTCTGCAGGTCCAGTTCTAGGAAGCAGACGGCCGGCAGGGTCAGAGGCCAGGCGATTCCACGGCCGGTGGATCGGCCACTGCTCAGATTCGCCGCCTCCCCGCTGGCCTGGGCTCTCGCTCGGCCCCTGAATCCCACGTGATTCTCCTGGTTTTTCCACAGCAGCAGCAGCCACACCTGCCCGCTGCCCACCTCCTGCGACCCGGGCACGGCCACTGCCAGGAGCTGGTGCTGACGGAGGACGAGAAGAAGCTGCTGGCCAAGGAGGGGGTCACCCTGCCCACGCAGCTGCCCCTCACCAAGGTGCGCCGGGGGCACTCTGGCCCCAGCTTTCCCTCAAGGTGGGGTCCGCCCTGAGTCCGCCCTCACTGACACTTATGACACTGTCTCTCCAGCCAGAAAACGGGGTCCCCCTAAATTCAACCCAGAACTCACAGCACAGGGCGTTGCTACGTAGCTGAGCTGCTCAGGCTGTGTTCGAATTTGCGATCCTCCCGCCTCAGCCTCCCGAGTGCTGGATGACAGGACCGCAGGCAGCGCCACCAAGGCTGTTTTGCGATGGCGTTTGCAGACTGACAATCCTGACGGGCAGGCGTGGAAAGGCGCCGAGCCTAGGGAGGGCCACACGGTGGTGCCGCAGCACCGAGGCCAAGGAGGCGGCAGTTACTAACTTTATATGATGGGGGGGGGGGACCAGCGGCAGGCCTGTCATCCGGGCACTCGGGAGGCTGAGGCAGGAGGATGCAGGTTCGAGCCCGTCTTGGGGAACTTAAAGAGACTCTATGTCACCGCACAGTACGAGGAGCGTGTGCTGAAAAAGATCCGCCGCAAAATCCGCAACAAGCAGTCGGCCCAGGAAAGCAGGAAGAAGAAGAAGGAATATATTGATGGCCTGGAGACGCGGTAAGCGGGGACCGCACCCCACGCCTGGGGAGGGAGGCCCGGAGAGCGCCTGCGGCGAGACTGGCTGGCCTCGCAGTGCCTCGGGGGGCCTCGGGGCGCTTTCTGCCCTGGATGAAGATGTGGTGCCCCGGCCCGGGCCGTAGCTCAGCGGCACAGCGCCTGCCCGGCAAGCGCCAGGTCCTGAGTTCGAGTCCTAGTCAAAAAAAAAGCTATGGCACACTGCTGGTCATGCCAGCCCTCCAGGAGGCTGAGGCAGGAAGATCTCAGGTTGCAGCCCAGCCTCGGCAATTTAGCGAGACCCTGTTTTAAAATGAAAAACCAACAAAGGGCTGGGGATGGAGCTCCGTGGGAAAGTCATGAGTTCAAGTCCTACAACCGAGCCATAATAAAACACCAGAGGGCAGTGCTCATTGTGACCGGAGGATGACTTTATTCAGGGGTGCAGCCCTGTTGGGGTTCCTGTTTTTGTTTGTCTTGTTGATGCAGGATCTCACCGTGCAGGGCAGGCCGGCCTTGAGCTCACTTTGAGGCCCAGGCTGGTCTCGAATTCGCAGCAATCCTCCTGCCTCAGCTCCCTGTGCTGGGGTACTGGGGTTTTCTATTTCTCCCCAAGTTGGTTTACACCTGTCATTGTTTCCTGGGATGTTGTCCGTTCAAATTCATTCATGCAAAATTATTCCTAGTTATCTCGTCTCTTGCTTTCTTTTTTTGGGTACCAGGAATCGAACTCAGGACCCTGCACTTGCTAGGCGGGCACTGTGGCCACTGATATGTACCTGGCCCCCAACTGTATTTTCTTAATTCACTGATTTTTTCCCCTTCTTTTCTTTTATATATATATATATATATATATATATATATATATATATATTCTGCTTGAACCCAGATCCTTGTACATTCTAGACAAGGATGTTGCCCCTGAGCTATGTCTCCCAACTCTTTTTATTTTTTGAGATAGGGCCTCCCTAAGTTGCTGAGTTGCACAGGCTGGGCTCAAACTTAAGATCCTCCTGCCTCAGCCTCCCGAGTGCTGGGATGACAGGCGCACACCACATCCAGCTGCACCCCCATTTTACAGATGAGGGGGCTGAGGCCAGAAATGGAAGTCGCCCAAAGTCTGAGGGAGAGAGTGCCAGGATGTGGTCTCCTCTAAGCCCCAGTCACCCGTTCCTAATCTTGGGGCTCCACCTCGACGGGCCCTCTCCCCAGGGGAGAGGGGGACCCAGAAACCGACAGATCTGGCTTTGGTCCTGGCCCCGCACAGCCACCCACATGCCTGTCACCCCAGGGACTCAGGAGGCTGAGGCAGGGTGGCTGGAGCCCAGGAGATGGGAGTCAGCCTGGGTAACAACCCAGCAAGACCCGATCCCGGGAAAATAAAACTGAATACAAAGTCCTGGTCCCGTCAAAGCCCACCGGGTGGCTTTGGACAAGTGCCTGCCTGCCGCTGCCCGTGGGTCCTCTGGCTGCAGAGTGGGCATAGCGGGGTCACGGCATGGCAGATGCCATCTGAATGTCACTGTCCCTGCAGCATGTCCGCATGCACCGCCCAGAACCAGGAGCTGCAGAGGAAAGTCCTACATTTGGAGAAACAGAATCTGTGAGTGTGGGTACAGCCCGGGCCAAGGGTGGGGCCAGGGGAGCAGCCCGGGTGTCCCGCAGGAGAGGGGGTGACGGGCTCGGGGCCAGGTAAGAGGAGGGAATGGGGTGTCTGTCTCTAAAGGAGGCAGGCAGGGAGAGAAAGGGATTTGGATGAGGGGCCTTGACGGGTGTGTAAGAGTTCACTGGGGAGAAGGTGGTAAGGACTGTATGCCACAGGCGGAGGCTGGCAGCAAGGAGTGTCGGGGGCCGCTCCTCACTCTGTCACGTGGATGAGAGAGCTGCACCTGTGTAGTCCACGTTCACAGCGGGGTGGGGAGGAGGCCTGTCATTGCGGCACTCAGGAGGCTGAGGCAGGAGGGTGGCTGTGCCAGGTCAGCCGGGGCTCTGCAGTGACGGCCGTGGCCTCCGCTTCCTCCCAGGTCCCTCTTGGAGCAGCTGAAGAAGCTGCAGGCGCTGGTGGTGCAGTCCACCAGCAAGTCTGCCCAGACGGGCACCTGCATCGCCGTGAGTCCCTGGCCGGCACGGTGGGGGGCTCTGGTCTCAGCATGGGGGTCACCGTGCTGCCACCCGAGGGCAGCAGAAACTTTCAGTCCAGCTTGGTCCTCTGGTTTCCTGGGCCTCAGTTTCCCTCCTGGGTGCTAAGCAAGCTGGGGGGGGGATGCTGGGGTGACGCACCCTGGCCTGTCCCCTCCAGGTGCTGCTCCTGTCCTGTGCCCTCATCATCCTGCCCTCCATCAGCCCCTTCGCCTTCAGCAAAGCTGAGCGCCCCGGGGACTTCGCGGCAGTACGAGGTGGGTGGGTCCGGCATCGCGGCACTCGGGTGCCAAGCGCCAGCCCTCCCTGGGCAACTTAGCAAGACCCTGGCTCAATGAAAAACAAGGTTAAGGGGGCTGGGGATTTAGCTCAGCAGCATAAGCGCCTGCCTTGCAAGCAGGTGGTCATGAGTTCAATCCCTGGTACTGATAAAAAAGAAAAAAAAAAAAAAAAAAAAAAAACAACAAGGTTAGGGGCTGAAGCTCAGTGCAAAGGCTGTGGTTCAACCCTCAGAGTTAAAAACAAATTTCCTCAGCACTGTTAGTCCCGGGGGTGCAGGAGACCCCTGGGAAAGCGATTCCTGAGCTTTCCAGGGCTGGAACAAAGGCCTCACCCACCCTCCTGATCCCTGCACCCTGCTCAGTCTTCTCCAGGACGCTGCACAATCAGGAGGCTTCGCGTGTGGCCCCCGGGGACGTTGCACCAGGCCCTGACACCCCAAGCTCCCAGCCAGATGCCGCACCCCACCAGGGGTCCCCAGGCAGCCTGGGGCCAGACTGGGGGGGCAACGCCACAAAAGAACTGGACAACTCAAGCCTGGCTCTGGACAACACGACGGACGAGCTGGGCCAGGCCACCGTGCTGGATTGGGCAGTACCCGAGCCGGTGCCGAGCCCGGGGCGCTCGGGGCTGGAGGCGGCAGGGGAGGAGCTCTGAGCACCCCCGGGACCTGGTCTGGGCGCTTTGGGGTCCTGGCATGGATGCAATGGACCTTGGCAGCGTGAGGCCAGAGAGTTCACAGCTGCTCCCAGGACCGAGGGAGACCCCTAAAACAGACCTCAAAGGACCAAGTGTGAGAAGCACCCCAAGAGACCCCAATGTCCCCCAGTACCCCGTGAACCTCTTGGACGCTGGTGTGGCCACAGCCACCAACACCCCCTTTTCTAAGACTTTGCTTGTGTTTCAATAAAGTATTTTGACAGAACACGGCCAGCTGGGGAGGGGAGAGGGGTGAAGAGGACTTTGGGGTTCCCCGGTCTCCCCAAACAAGGGGCAGGGCCAGGTCCCCTGTCCTTGTTGGGGTGGCAGTGGATGGATCCAGGGACCCTAGGGGACCCATGAGGCAGAACTCGTGGGAGGACCCAAGGACACAGCTGGGGAGGGACAGGGCCCTCAGGGGAGCTGCTGCTGTGGCAGCTGTTGGGGTCCCCCCTCACACAGCGGGGTGCACAGCCTGGGCACGTGTGGACCCAGGACCCACCCTGGGGACGGAACCAGGGCCTCTGCACTGAGCTGCAGCCCCGGCCTCTCGTCTTTTGTTGTTGCAGGATCTAAGTTGCTCAGCCCCCAGGCTGACCTGGAACTGCCATCCTCCTGCCTCAGCCTCCTGAGGGCTGAGGGACTGCCGGCGTGAGCCACCCCGCCTGGCCACGCGGGGCACTCTAATGCATTCGGATGCTTTTATTGTGCTGGTGGCTTGGGGGAGCCCTCGGAAAGTGGGGCGCAGGCCCCTGGGCTCCCCTCTGGAGGGTCTGTGGAGGTGGCTTTGAGATAAGAGAGGAGGGAGGGGGCCCGGGCACGAGGGAACCCAGTCCCTCGGGGGCTGGAAGCCAGGGGGGCCCAGCCACCCTCCCGGCCAGTCCTGAGTCAGAGGGCGGGGTCGGCAGCTTCTGGGGGGCTGCTTCCCGGGCCCCACTGCACGGCCCAGAGTCAGAGGAGCCAGCACCTGAGGGCCCCGGGACAAAGCCATGTCCCAGGTGACACCGGCAGGGCAAAGTACGCACAGTTCCTAGAGAACACCCCGCCCCGCCCCCGCCGGCTGGTCAGCTGGGCCCCACCTCGGCCTTCAGCCTTTTGGGGGGCGGGTGGGAGGCCGGGCTGTCGGGCCGCTCCGCTTTGGGGCTGCGAGGCTGGGGCTTGGGCAGGGCAGATGCACAGCCGTTGAGCTGGGCCGTGGGCTCTGTGTCGCTGTCATCTTTGGGCTCCAGCTTGGGTGCAGGTGGCCGGGGCAGCGGGGGCAGCGCCCGCTCCACCACGCGGGGCCCGTGCCAGGAGGGGATGTCCAGCCCCAGATGCCGCATGAGCCCGGCCATCACGTCGTCCACGTAGCCGTGGATGCGCAGGTCGGCCTGGCGGTCCTGCGGGGTGGGAGGGTCAGCACGGGGCAGGGGGTGGGGGCACCGGGCGGGGCAGGGGTGGCTCCGGGCACCTACATGCTTGGTGGGCTGCAGGTTCACGATGACCAGGCGGCCACCTCGGCGCTTGGTGGCCAGGGGCAGGTTCCCGCTGGGCCGGATCTGCAGGGAGGTGCCCAGGGTGACGGACAGGTCCGCGTTCCTGGGGACAGGGCAGAGGACAGGGGCTGGGTGCCAAGGCCCTGTCCCCCTGCCAACACCAGCGGTAGCCCTGGGGTCCAGCTGAGGCCTGGGCACTGCCCCTACCGAGAGCCCAGAAAGAGCAGTGGACCTTGGCTGCCCGCAATCGAACTCAGGACCAGGCAAGCACTTGACCGGCTGAGCTGAATCCTGGCCCAGAAAATCACTGTGGCGGCCTAAATCCCTGCTGGGGACACCCGCCCAGGGTCATGGGCGGGGACGGAGGCTGGACCTTCCCCTCCAAGGAAATTTTCTTAACTTTTTTTCTTGCTTTTTAATTTTTTTGGTAGTGCCGGGATGGACCCGGGGCCTTTGCACTGAGTTACATCTCCGGCCATCTTTATCTTTTTGAGACAGGGTCTCAGTCACTGCCCAGGCTGGGCTTGAACTTGCCATCCTCCTGCCTCAGCCTCCCAGAGTGCTGGGATGACAGCCGTGTGTACACCCCGGGTTAGGGAGCCTTCCTCACCCAGCCTCCGAGCCCATCCCTCGCCCTGCGAGCTGGTCAGCTTGGGCTGCCCGTCCTCTGGTCCGTCCCACAACCCGATCGTGGGCCCAAACAAGGACGTCAGACCTGCTGGCCTCGTCGGCGAGAGCCAGGTCCCGCTCGGGCAGCGAGTCCTCCCAGTCCAGGATGGTGTCTCTCAGCTCCCCGCTGCAGAGGAGAGTCCAGGGTGAGTGGGTCCTCAGCCCCACGGGGGCCTGGGCCTTGGGGACGGTCACTCACCGGCAAGCCCGCAGCCCCCGTGCCTTGGCCACGGTGCAGAACCGGCCAGTGGCCTTGAGGCCCATGGTCCCCACGACCGTATCCCGGACATACTGCCTGCGTCAGAGAGGAGAAGGGTCAGTGAGTCCTGCGCGGGCCACCTGTGGGCTTTCACTCTTCCGTCTTTCTGAGACAGGGTCTCACTGTGCAGCCAGGCTGGCCTTCGGTCCTCTCGAGAGGGGAGAGAATAGCCAGGTGCAGAGGCCGATAATCCCAGCATCGCAGAAGGCTGAGGCAGGAGGATCCCCAGTTCGAGCCCACCAGGGCGACTTGGTGATTTAGGGCCAGGGCTGCGGCCACCACCAGGGCCGGGGAGGAAGGGAAGAAGGGTCACCCCAGAATTTTCCGAGGGCCTGGCCCTGCAGGCACCATGACTTGGCCCCAGGAGACGCCCCAGTCCTGGGTCCCCGGCCAACAGGCTGGATTCTGCCTCCTCCCTGGGCCTTCCTCCTCACGCCCCTGGGACTTGGGGACACTGCTTGGCCTGTGCAGGTGACAGACCTCAGGGTCAGGTGCCGAGCACCCCGCCTCCCCAACAAGACACTCACCTCTTACACTTGGCACATTCTTCTACGAACATGTTCCCATGTAGCTCAGCGAGTTTGTCCCTGCGGGGCAGGCAGGGGAGTGAGCGGTGACCCCGCTCCTCCCCCTCCTCTCCTCCCCCTCCTCCCCTCCCCCTCCTCCCCTCCCCCTCCTCCCCTCCCCCTCCTCCCCTCCCCCTCTGTGGGCAGCTCCAGGGTCATCACCTGCCCAGCCTGCAGGAGGCCCTGGCTTCCCGCCCTCCCGCTGGGTGTAAAAAAAAACAAAAACAAAAACCACCCTTGTTCCTCACTGACAATCAACATAAAATCAAAACAGACAGATACTAACAATGATAGGCACAGGCCAGTCATTATCCCAGTTCTCTGGGAGGCTGAGGCAGGAAGGTCCTGAATTCAAGTCCAGCCTGGAAAACTTAGTAACTGAACAAGACCTTGTCTTCAAATTTTAAAGTCTGGCTGGAGCTGGAGCTCGGGGCGCAGGGAACCCCGAGGCTCAATGGGGGGCGGGGGCGGTACCTGGGGAAGCCCGAGCGCACGTGCAGCCCGTCCACGTTCTGGCTGACCAGGAACCTCAGCAGCCCCACGCGCTCCAGCTGCACCAGCGCCATGTGCGTGCGGGTGGGCCGCGCGCTCTCGAAGGTGGTGTCGAACCTGGGCGCCAGGCCGCGCTCCTCCATGGTCCACACGCCGTGGGGGCCCCTGGTGGCCACGGGTGGAGGGCGGGAGAGACGGCACGGAACGGGAGAGCCACAGACAGGGCGACAGAAAGAGGAGGAGACACAGGCACAATGGGAGACGAAAGAGAATTAGAGATTGGGGGTCGCAGAGAGACAGGAGACAGGGTACATGTGCAGGTGAGCGTCAGTCAGTCACTCAACAAACACTTGGTTACTGCTGCTGGGGTTTTGTTTTGGGTTTTGGTTTTGTGAGACGGGGTCTCACTATGTAGCTCAGGCTGGCCTTGAGCCCTTGGCGATCCTCCTGCCTCAGCCTCTGGAGTGCTCGGATTACAGGGGTGCGCCCCCACGCCCGGCAAAACCCTTGCTTTTCAACAACTGTTGTCTAACATAGGCTGTTACACTGGGGATTTCAATCAGTATATGGCCTCATGCCCCTCATTTAGGGATGAGGAAATAATTCCCAAAGGTAAAGCCACTCGCCTGAAACCAACTCCTAAAGGAAAAACGTAGGTCTGCGTGACTTTAACTGTTCCTGATACTGAGTTTCCCTATAGAACAGAATCCAAGTATGTGGCCGGCCTGTTTATCTACAGACTACATTTCCCAGCATGCTGTGCCACTAGGTGAGATCAGGTGACCAGGTGTTCCCAACATTCCTTGCACTAGGCAAGATGTGATCAGGTTTTCCCAGCATTCCTTGGAGTTAGGTTCAGACCAAGTGACCAGGTTCTGGCCAGTAAGGGAAGTAGGATATTGGCTGTAACTTCATGGATGGGTCTTCCCCATCCCTAGTACCAGGGGCAGACAAAAGGCACTGGGGTGAGCTCTGCTCCTCCAGGAGCAGGAAGGTGGGCCCACCTCAGTTTCCCCTCGGTGCTCACAGACCTGAAGTCAGGGATGCCTGAGGCAGTACTGATGCCAGCACCCGTGTGGAACACCACATTGGATGACTCCCAGATCAGCCGGGCCAGCTCCCACACCTTCTGATCCAGCTCCTCCGGGGGGTCAAAGATCTGCCGGAAGACAGGAATGGAGGGGCCAAACATGTCTCCCGGGTGACAAGGCCACGGGCCATGGCCTGCCCGTTTTCACCTTGCCCAGGGAGGAGAATGGACAGGAAAAGGCAGCTTGTCCTTATGGCTCTCTTCTGCCCTCTGCCCTCAGCCCTCCATGGCTCCCACTGAAGCCCAAGTCCTCTTGCAGCCCAAAGGGGCCTGTATGACCGCCTGCCCCCCCCTCCCCTCCTCCTCTCTGCCCTTGTTCCCTCTGCTGCAGCCACACAGCCTGCTCACTGCTCCTCTACCATACTGGGCTCCATGCTGCCCCAGGGCCTTTGCACAGGGCATGTGCTCCACCTGGAACGTTCCTTCCCCAGATCTAGCCATGGCTGTCTCCTCCTTTAGATTATGGCTCAAATGTCACCACCTGGTTTTAATGAACCTCTCCTCTTCCTCACCCACTGAGGAGGGATTTAGCCTGTTTTTGCTGCCTGCACCTCTCCACTTGGATCATGCCCGGGCTTCAGTAGGTGCTTAAGAAATATTTGTGGAATAAAGTGAGTAACACTGGCAGGCCAAGATGGGAGACGGAGACCTGGGAGGGAGGCGACTTGCTCCAGGCCCCACCGTGGGGAGGGGACAGTCTCTTGCACCTCTCCTCCTGGGGCAGGGATGGGGAGCCCATGGCACGTGTGCTGCAGCCCGCTCTGTTAGCACTGAGAGCTCTAAAAGCTTCCCCATCCTAGCGGCTGGAAGGACCTTGGTGACACACTGTGTCCAGGCTCTGGGGCAGGGATGGGGAGTCCATGGCATGTGTGCTGCAGCCCGCTCTGTTAGCACTGAGAGCTCTAAAAGCTTCCCCATCCTAGCGGCTGGAAGGACCTTGGTGACACACCGTGTCCAGGCTCTGGCATCTCTGTCCCGTACTGGGACTGCATCCTTCTCCTCCCCATCAGGCCATCAGTCTGTTCCCCACCCGGATCCCCCTCGCGGCCCCAGGTAGGGGACCCCAAACCCGGGCAAGCCCCGTGCAGGGCGCTCCAGGGTGTCGCCTCCTGCGCCCCGCTCTCCGGGAAGTCCCTCCCATTGCCCAGCTCAAGTGCCTCCTGATATTCCCACAATGCCCCGGTTTCTGTCCTCAGCCCTGCTCTGCCCGTGGACGTGGAGGCGACCCTCGGGGGATTCCCCGCCGCACTCACCTCGGGGAGCCCACACTTTCCTTTATCGGCATAGGGCGACAGCCCCGCCGCGTAGTTCACCGACATCGTCGCTGCTCAGTGGGAACAATAAAGTTTCCCTTGTTGAAGCTGGTTCCGCCGGAAGTGGGTCGGGACGGCGACGGAAGGAGGAGCGGTGTTCCTCCCCCTCTTCCTCTGTGGCGCATGCGCCTTCTGGTGACGCTAATGCCGCCATTTTAGGTACTGGAACAGAGTAGCCCATTAGAATAGCTAAGACCCAAACTGTCCAGGGATTGGGGCGGGGAGCTGGGTTCCAGTCACCTCTAAAATGGGGAGGAAAGTGGCCAATGGTCCCTTTCAGTTTTTACACATTAGGAAGGAGGGAGTCGCACACAGTGGAGACCCTGGTGCAGAAGAGGGCTTTGGATGAGTCCTGCCCAAGCGGATGGGGGGCATGTGCATCTTATGGGGACCCCCGCCTCCGCTCCCCCTGGAGATCAGAGCTGATCAAGGTCACTGGTGCTGGTGGCCTTGAAGAGCCAGTGAAGAGACACGTGCTGAGGTCCTGCCTGGTGCCAAGTAGCAGGCACAGCAGAACCCTGCCCACGGGTGACCGGCCAGAGTGACCCAGGGGGCCTGGGGCGTGCAGGGCGACACCGTGCGGGGCAGAGAGGGCGCTCCGAGGGGCTGCTGACCCAGCTGGGGACCTCCTTCCCGGAAGGGGCACGGGGAGCCCTGAGTGCAGACTGGGCGGGCGTTAGAGGGGCGCAGGAGCGGCCTGCAGAGGTGCACAGGCAGGCGACCCTGGGGGAGGCCGGGGTGCAATGGCAGGGTGCAAGCCGAGATCGGCCCAGCGATGCTGGGAGGAGGCCGGTGTCTTCCCGCCAGAGCCCAGGGCCAACAGCACCCCGGCTGCCAGCGGCCTCCTCCCTGCTGTCTGTCCCCAGCCCCGGGTGATCGGGTGTCACCGGCGCGCACTGGGCGCCGCCCTGCGGCCGCGGCCCAGCTGGGAGTGGGTAACCGGAGCCGCGGGCTGCAGCCGCAGGAGTAGGGAGCAGGAGGGCGCCATCGGGGGGAGGCCTGCAGCTGGAGGTGGGCGCTGGAGTCTGACCCAGCCACCTTGTCTGCACCCCCACCTCGGGGGTCTGCAGGGTGTGGCTCTGTCCCCCACTGTTGCTCAGCACCCCAGCGGGCACCACCTCCCCCAGGAAGCAGCGCCAGGTCTGCGGGCACCGCCCCGCCCCCACTCCCCCACCCCCCCTGGGTGGGAGGGTGGGAGTGGGGGAGGTGTGATGGGGTTTCCTCAGTCAGGGGCAGGGGCAGAGGGCCGGGTGCCCCACAGTGAGCGGCTGGTCTGGTTGGTAGAGGGTGGGCGCGTGGGTGGGTGTTGGGCGGTGGAGTGGACAGGTGGGTAGCTGGGTGGACAGAGGGACGGACGCACGAGTGGATGAATGAGTGGGGCAGGTGATTGGGTGGGGAGATGGGCTGGCGGGTGGGTAGGCAGAGGGACGAGTGGGTGGGTGGGTGCTGGTGCGTGGCCCGGAGCTGGGGCCCATGGCCGGTGGGTGGCTGGGCCGGAGGGAGTTGGAGTGGGGGATGGAGCGGCTCGGGAGCCTGGGTTAAAGGTGACAAAGGGCTGTCATCTTCTGCGGGTGCAGACAGTGGGCATGTGGCTGATAGGGGGGAGAAGGGTTCCCAGGTGGCAGGAGGAGTGGTGGAGGTCCTGCCATTTCGCAGAGACCCCTGTGCCACCCAGGATGCCAGGCACTGGACACAGCATCCCCAGGCCAGTCCTGCCAGACGGTCACTCCCGCCATCACCACACCACAAGCCCGGGTCCCACTGCTGTTACCCCAGCACCAGGCAGGCACAGGGCTTGGATGCAGGGGTCTCCTGTCCGAGCAGCCAACAAACACACTCAGCGCAGAGGCCTCAGCCCTGTGTAAAGTTCCCAAGGAGCACTTGATTGTTGAAGCACAGTTGATCAGAGCATGGGATTTTGGAAAAGGGTTGTAGGTGATGAATAGGAGTTCATTACAGAAAACTATAAAGGACCTTGGCAGAAAGAACCACACCAATCAACTCTGCCTCCAGGCCAGGAAAGTGAGACTTGGAGAAGGTCTGCAAGCAGCTTGCAGGCCATGCCGCAGGGAGCCTTGGGTGATGGAGCTGGCTGTATCTGGTTCTGAGAGCCCGGGCTGCCTGGAGGTGGCTCTCGTGGTGGTGGTGGGAACTGGAGTGTCTCCTGCTCCTCGGAGCTGGGCGCCTCACCCCGCTCTGCCCTTTCCCTCCGCAGGTGGCCGGGTGCTGGCTATGAAGACTCTCCGAGCCAGATTTAAGAAGCCGGAGGTGAGTGTCATGCTGGCTGAGGGCCCACTTGTCCCCCACGGCTCCCCAGACTCATCGCTGGGAACTGTGTCAGCCTGGGCCTGTCTTGCTCCGGGGTGCTCCGTTCCCCAGCCCAGCACCCTCAGGCCCAAGCGCCCACCTTTAAGCTCTCCCCAGCCACCCTGCTTTCCTCCCGGCTCTCCCTGCTGCTTCCGTGGGGCCCTCTGTGAGGCCCCCTCAGGCCAGCGTCTGCTCCCGCATACCCGGCTCTGCGCCCGCTTCCCCTCCTCCCTCCAACCCAGCTCCTTTCTGCACTTTGGTTTACCCGAATTTGAATGCTCTAAAGTGCTGGCCATGGCTCTGACCCTCACTGGGGCTCTGAGGTCAGAGCATCCCTCACCCTCACCCTGCGGACCAGGCGGGGGAGGCCCGCGAGGCTGGAGTTGGCCGGAGTCCTACGGCCCGGGAGGGGGACACCTGGCTCCCCCATGGCTGTGCCGCTAAGACCTGGATGGGGCTTGGGGAGAGAGCGGACATGGAAAGTGCGCTGATTAGTAAAAGGGCCGACTTAGGGGCGCAGTGGCCCACGGACACCTGCATCCCAGCACTCCGGGAGGCTGAGGCAGGAGGGTCTCCGTTCAGTCCCAGGCTGGGCAACTGAGAGGCGCAGTAAGGGCCTGTATCAAAATAAAAAATGAAACAGGGCGGAGGGTGTAGCTCAGTAGGAGCGCCCTGGCTTCCATGCCGGTACTGGAAGACAAAGATAAAGTAAAATAAAATAAAACTAAAAGGCGGCATGAGGTCTCAGAGGGCGCAGGTGGCAGGGCCCGGTGCTCAGGGCGGCGGGACACCTGGTCTCTGTCTTCCGGCCCGCGGGCACCTGGCCCCCCACCCCCCCACCTGGCCACCACGCCTGCCCTTCTCCGGTTTCGCCGCAGGCAGCAGAGTCAGGTTCGAGCTTTTGTGCAGCAGCCCCGAGGGAAGAAAGCAAACACCGTGACTGCGGCGCGGCCGCCCGGTGTCCCTGGGACCTGCGTTCCCAGTGCTGGCGGTGGCCGCGCCGGCCAGGTGTGCGTCCTCGCCCGCCAGGTGTGTGTCCCCGCTGCCGCGCTTCTGAGAGTGGCCGCCAGGTGGCGCCATAGCGCTGCACGCCCGGACGGCGACGGCCCTGGTTTCCGGCCGGCTTCGGGTAACCGGGCTCTGGAGGGACCCTGATTCAAAATAAAAATTAAAAAGGGCTGGGGCTCGAGCTGAGTGCGAAGGCCCTGGGTTCAACAGCTAGCACCACGCTCACAAAATTTTATCAATGGCTGCTGGAAGTTGAATTTGATAACATTTTTTTACAGGTCACAAATGACTTTTTAATTTTCCCCCAATCAGTTTTTTCTTTTTCTTCTCTTTTTTTTTTTTTTGGAGACTGGGTCTCACTAGTAGTTGAGACTGGCCTTGAACTCCCCGTGATCTTCCTGCCTCAGCCTCCCCGTACTGGGATTACCGGCATGCACCACCATGGCCAGCCTCCTTCCAATCACTAACAACCCTAAGAGCACCCTTAGCCCTGGGCTGTACAAAAACAGGGTTCGGGCAGCTGCACCAGCTGGCATTTTATTTTGTATTTATTTATTTATTTAGAGACAGGGTCTCCCTGTGCAGTTCAGGTTGAATTTGAGCTCACTGTGTAGCCCAGGCTGGCCTCCAACTTGCAGGGATCCTCCTGCCTCAGCCTCCCCAGTGCTGGGATCCCAGCTGTGCGCCACCACACCTGGTCACATTTGGCTTTTTGTGCTGAGTGAGGTCCCTGGGGAGAGGTGCCATCTCCTTGATGCTGGATGAGGACAGGGTCAAAAGGCTGAGGCAGAAACGGAGTGGGGGGAGTCTTGAGGGGATCTCTGGGGGCAGCTGTATCCAAGGTACCTTGTGTGGGGCTTTGAGACACAGGTGGCTGGCGCTCAGGGATGGAGGAGGAGAAGCCCAGGAAGCCTGAAACCCGAGGCCTGGGCCCAGAGATCAGTTTACCTGTCCTGCCCCACCCCACCTGTCCCAGGGGTCTGGGAAATCGGCAGGTCACCCTGATCCTGCAGGGCCCAGGATGCCCCCCCCCCAGCACACGGGGGACCCCTGATCTGTCCAGAGTGCTAAGGGGGACAGAGACCCCCGTGGTGTCATCCTGTGACTTAGCCCCTTCATCCCAGAGAGGGAGGTAACTGGCTCCAGGGCGCACAGCAGGCCCAGCACAGCCCAGCAGGCCTCTGCTCCTAGACTGAGGATCTGGGCCCTTCTGCCGGAGCCTCGTCCCTTCTCTGACGACCAGGCTGGACGCCCCCTCCCGGAACTGAACTGGCTCCTTCCTTCCGCCAGCCCTGCTCCCCTGTCTTACACCTAAGCACTGGACCCCCAAGGGGTCTTGGACCCCCCCATAAGTCTTCCCTGGTCTCTTTTGCTGTCACCAACTTCACACAGAGGCCCACTATTTTTTTCTTTTTTTTGTCTTTTTTGAGATGGGGACTCGTTATGCAGCTCAGGCTGGCCTTGAGCTCACTTTGTAGCTCAGGCTGGTCTGGAACTCCCAATGATCCTCCTGCCTTGGCCTCCCGAGTGCTGGAATTACAGGCATGAGCCACCACGCCTGGCTCAGAGGTCCACTATTGTAAACCCAAATATCGAGTTCAGCCATCCAAGTACTGTAATCCTGTCTCTAGCCTTCCCTACAGGCCAAAAAGCTATATTTATAATCCTATGAGATGTTACTGGAATCCCAGCAGTGGTTAACTCCAATCTACCATCTCCAATGCAGCCCAGGGCCAGAGTAAAGACACCAAGTTAACTGGGTCCTAAGCCCCGTCAGACAAACGCCCTGATCCCAGGCCTCTCCCAGCATTTATTATCTTGTGAAGAAGGGGGTGGCTCGGGGCTGAGTGCCAGTCAGGATGGCAGGAATTACTGAGTGACCTGAGCTGGCTGGCCAGGTGCAAGAATGGCCTCTGTGAATTGCAGAGATAAAGACATGCAGAAGGAGCCGGGCCTGGTGGCCCACGCCTGTCATCCCAGCACTCGGGAGGCTGAGGCAGGACGATCCTTGAGTTTGAGACCAGCCTGGGCTCCAAAGTGAGCTCAAGGCCAGCCTGGACTGCAGAGTGAGACCCTGCCTCAAAGAGACAAAAAAAAAAAAAAAAGACATGCAGAAGGATCAATTTACATAATCAATTAGGGTAGCAGTGGAATTGTTTTGGGGGTTATAGAGAGCAGGAAATATCCTCGCCAGCCTTTCACATATCAGTATAAAGAAATGAGTCTCCAAATAATCAAAGTCACAGCAATTGTTTTGGATTCAAAGGGAGTCACGGGCCTTGTCTCCCACAGCCCACCGGCCCATGGGAGGGGAGCTTGGCTTCACCGGAAGGGAAGGGCAGGTGGGAGCCTTGCGCTGAGGGACCTGGTTCAGGGGCTCCCAGGGGCCTTCGGCTGCTGTGGGGGGCAGGCTTGGGTCGGGGAGACTGGAGCTGGGGACCCAGCAGGAGGCTACTACAGGATCCCAGGTAAGAGGCGGTTTTTCCTGAGGGTCACCTTGTCCCTGCCTGGCCCACTGCCCGCCCCTCAGGTCTCCCCGTCCTTTCAATCACCCCGGGTTCCCAGCACCCAGCACCTGCTGGCACTTAGTGGACCGCAGGAACAAAATGCCTATGGGCCAGTGGACGTGGCCTTGTGAGCCCTTCATTAGCTGTGCCCACACACCAGCCACTCTGACCTGTTCAGAGTGCCAGGCTGTGTGCCAGAGATGCCTCAGTGGGCCCTGCTCTGGGCTGTGACCCAGACCCTCCCAGCCCATGGAGTCCAAGGCCAGGGCTGGATCCTCTCTGACTTCCAGTGGGTTTAACTGAGCATCTGTACATGCTACACCCTTCCCTGTGCCTCGGCCCAGGCTTGGATCTTCCTTTGCCGGCTGAGTCACAGTTTTTATTGTGAGCCTGCTGTGTGCCAGGCACTGGGATGGGCAGTGCTTTGTGTACACTGATCACCCACTCCACAGACAAGACGGTGAGGCTGTCAGCCGGTAAGTCTGGGCTCAGCCACTTGGGGAGACATGGGAGTGGGGGGCACTAGATTCTGCAGAGCCGCACTGGAATATGACTGACCATTATGAAAGAGCGCAGAAATGAGCCAGTAAATGGGCGCATGAATGAATGCAGAAATGAACTAATGAATTAACGTCCAAAAGCGAGGTAAATGTGCAACTCAGTAAGTGACACAATGAGCCAGTAATGACGAATGAGTGAGTTGAGCATGTCGGCCCGGTGCCGGGGACAGCTCAGAGGCACAGCTCTTGCCTGGCAAGGGCAAGGTCCTGAGTTCCATTCAGAGTACAAAAAAAACAAAAAAAACAAAAAAAAAAAAAAAAAGGAGGAATGAATATGCAAATTAGTGAGGGATTCAGTGAATGAATGAAGGGGCGCATGAATGAATGAATGGGCGCATGAATGAATGAACGGGCGCATGAATGAATGAATGGGCGCATGAATGAATGAACGGGCGCATGAATGAATGAGTGAAGGGGCGAATGCATGAATGAATGAATGAATGAATGAATGAATGGGAGAATGAATGGCGTGGAAATAAACGCCTAGGACAATCAGTAAGTGTGGGATGGCTGCCTTCAGAGGCTGGGCTGAGAGACACCTCGCATCCCTCTACCTGTTCTGCTGGGAGCCGGAAGGGAGATGGACACAAGGTCCCCGAGCCCAGCAGCCCTGGCTGTGCGGCCTTCCATGGAGAGACAGGGCCCCCTCAGCACATCCAGGGCAGTGCGCCATCCCTGGGTCTCCCCAACCCCTGGGGAAGGGGAAGGGGGAGGGGGAAGGTGGACGAGACCTCGTGGGAGTGGGATGTGCTGAGGCGAACTGGGGCCGGGAGGCGCCGGCGTGGGCGGGGCTTGTGGGCGGGGCAAGTCAAAGAGGTTTTCTCGGGAGTGGGCGGGGCCTATCTGTGTGGGGCGGAGCCACGCCTGGGTGGGCGGCACGCCGCCGGAGTGGGCGTGGTGACGCCGCTGTGGGCGGGGCCCCAGACCCCGGCCCCGCCCCGCCCCTCTGGACCGCCGCCTATCGGACCCCGGCCGCCCTGCTGGCCCGCGCCCTGGACGCCATGAAGCAGCTGTGTTTGTGCGCAGCCGCCTCCTTTGCGGTAGGGCTCGGGCGGGGGGAGGAGTGGGAATGTGGGCGGAGCCCTGGGGGGACCCCCGAGACACTGGTCCGCCTCCCCTCCCCCACCCGGCCCCAACCACGTAAGGCCCGCACCCCCAGACCCAGGAGGGATGCGCGGGGCAGGGCGGCTAGGGCTTGTGCCAGCCCTTGGTGTAAAGATGGGACATTCGGGAACATGCACACAAGGACAGTTCCTAGGACGGACGACCTGAGAAGAATGCAGGGGACCTTGGGGGAACAGTCAGGAGCCCTATTGCCGTTTGGAGGAACAATGCGCGGCTTTGGGGGGGTGGTCCTGGGAAGGCATCGTGACCTTTGCAGAATAGTGGCTTGGGATTTCGAGCCAGGCTCTCGCTGTGTGGCCCAGGCTGCCCTCAAATTCTAGGCGATCCTCTTGCCTCAGCCTCCCCAGGCTGGGGTTAGGGGCGTGTGCCACCTCGCGGGGCTTGGTTTGGGGTAGTTTTGGAGAAGGCTGCGGACAGTGGAGGCGACTTCAGAAGCTAACGTTTGGGTGGACAGGTCTGGAGGTATTGGGGGATCACGATGGCAGGTGCACCATGGACAGATGGGAGAGGGGGGTTGGGAGGGGACCTTAGGGGGTCAGTTGAGGAGACTCAGCAGCTGGGAGAGGCGCCTGGAGACTTGGCCCCGGAACACTTGGGGAGAGACATTGAGGCCAAGCAGGCCGGTGCCAGCAGTGGGTTTGGGGTCACAGGCGGGGCACTAGGCCTGGGGCAGATGCCGGGGCGCGGGCTCGGGGGACGCTGTCTCTGGCCCCCGCCCAGGACCACCTCCCCTGGCAGCTGCGGCTCAGCCCCGCCGACCTCGGCTCCTGCCCGCCCTGCAGCCCCTGCCCCATCCCGAAGCCGGCAGCCAGAGGCAGGCGCCAGGCAAGTGCCCGGGGTGGGCGGCGAGAGCTGGGACCCCCGCCAGGGGGCGCAGGGAGGAGGCGGTGCCCGCCTGGCCCCACGTGTCTGTGCGGGTGACCCGCAGGGCCAAGACTGGGGCAAAAGCGACGAGCGGCTGCTGCAGGCCGTAGAGAACAACGACTCTGCCCGGGTCGCTGCACTCATCTCCCGAAAGGGGCTGGTGCCCACCAAGCTGGACCCCGAGGGCAAGTCTGCGTGAGTGCCGGTGCCTCTGGGGGGCACGGTCGAGGGGACACGCCCTGTCTCCCCTGACCTCTGACCTCTGACCCCAGGTTCCACCTGGCAGCCATGCGGGGCGCTGCCAGCTGTCTGGAGGTGATGCTGGCACAGGGCGCCAACGTGATGAGCACGGATGGGGCAGGTACCGTCAGCTGCGCTGGGCGGGAGGCGGAAGTTCAGCAGGTTCCCAACCCCAGACCCCAGCAGCTTCAAGGTCTCAGTGTCACCCTCAGGAAGAAGGGAGTTCCTGCAACTGTCCTAAGGGAGGCACAGGGACATTTCAGGCTGTGGTGCCCAAGGGTGAGTGGCAGCTGGTAGTAGGCAAAGCCAATAGCCATTGTCAGCAGGGAGTAACTAGGCTTCAGGTTGTGGTTAAGTCGGAGGGAGCAGCTGGGCCCGAGGAGTAGCTGGGTTTTTTTGTTTTTATTGTTTTTGTTTTTGGTACTGGGGATCGAACTCACGACCTTGAGCCACTGAGATAAATCCTTGACTTGGGGAAGTTTTTGAGAAAGTGGGGAGGGCAGAGGAAGGTCATTGGGCTCCTCCTCAGGGTGCCAGAATGATGGGGGAGACTTGGATTAGGGGTAACCCTGGGATTCAGGAGAATCTGAGACCAAGGGTGGAAGAGGGGAGAGTCTGGCATTTGAGGGCCAAGCTGGGCTCGTGGGAGTAGCTGCGGTGGAACTTTCTGGAGCAGGAGAATCACAAGGAGAGGGAGGGGAGTATCTGAGGCATGGAGGAGTAGCTGGGATTTAGGAGTAGCTGGAGCTCTGAGAGTAGCTGGGGTAAAAAGAGAAGGGGTGCGTGAGTTACTTGAGACCTGGGGCCTGGGGATCATTAGGCATGAGATGGAGACGGAGGGGGAGACGGAGGGAAACTGCATCACAATGGACATGGGTTTGTGGAGCAGCTGGGAGCCCTGGAGTATCTGTAGTAAACCTCCCCTCCCTTCCAGGTTACAATGCTCTCCACCTGGCCGCCAAGTATGGGCACCCACAGTGTTTGAAGCAGCTGCTACAGGTCTCTTACTTTCTTATCTCAGATACTCCCTGAATTTCAGATACTCTACTGCTCTGAGTGCTAGCAAGACCTCAAACCTCCAGCTACTCCCTGAATCCTCCTATCCCCTGGCTCATCTTAGTCCTAGTTTCAGCTACTCTCTAGACTATCAGATACTCCCAAGCATCCAGATGCGTCTCACACCAAGATGCACTCTTGGTACTAGACCTTCATGAACACTAGTTCTTCCTCCTACCTTAGTGTTTTAGCCAGGCCTTTGCTGAGCTGCTCCAGCTACTCCCCACACTCCCAGCTACTCCCCACACTCCCAGCTACTCCCCACACTCCCAGCTACTCCCCATACTCCCAGCTACTCCTCACATCCCAGCTACTCCCTTTCTCACCAATTCTCATAAAAGCCAAGAGTCACTCAGAGGCCTGTGACACGGCCTCCCCAAGCTGGGGTGGGGGGAGAGGTTCTGGAAAAATCAAGTAACAGGAAGAGAAGTGACCCACTCCCCCTTCCCAGGCCTCCTGCATGGTGGATATCGAGGACAGCAGTGGGTGGACAGCTCTGCATCATGCAGGTGGGTGCGGCGCAGCCCTGCCCGCTCATGGGTGCTGCCCTTGGGGGTTACCCTCACCCGGGCGCCCTGTGGCCTCCTCTTCTGGGCAGGAGGCTAGGGGAATGGAACCCAGGGCCTTTGCTCTGAGCTACACCCCCAGCCTGTTTTATTTTTTACTGTAAGCTAGGGTCTCAAAAAGCCACTAAATCCAGGGCATGGTGGCACACGTCTGTCATCCCTGGGAGGCTGAGCCAGGAGAACTGCCATGAGTTTTCCATCAGCCAGGCTACACAGTGAGCTCAAGGCCAGTCTGAACTGCAAAGCAAGAGCCTGTCTCAGACAAAAAAGAAAAACAGAAATCCCAGGGCAACGCGGCCAGCCCAAACAAAACTTCAGAATCAGCTCTCCCACAAGGGAGGCGAAGCTCTCCACCACCTGGGCCAGCGCCGGTCCAGGGTCTACACCGAGCCCGGGCGGTTCCGGGCTCCAGTGAGGCCTCAGGACCCCGCGCTCCCTTTGCGTGGGTTCTGTCGCTGCGCACTGTCTCCCGTGGCTGCGGTGTGCTGCCGCCTAGTGGCGGGAGTGCTTCTGGGTGCTCCGGCAACTCGGGCCCCCTTCCTACCTGAGACAAATTTATTGCCTGGTGTGGCTGCGGCACCCCTGTCATCCCAGCCCTCTGGGAGGCTGAGGCAGGACGGTCGCAAGTTCAACACAAGTCTGGGCAACTTCATGAAACCTTGGCGCAAAATAAAAAGGTGAACACAGCTCAGCGCAGAGGCCCTGGTTAGAACCCAGTCCTGGTCCTGGGGCCCCCCCCAAATGCCCACGCCTTCTCCCAACCCCGCCCCCTCTCCAGCGGCCGGCGGCTGTCTCTCCTGCTCGGAGCTGCTGTGCTCCTTCAAGGCACATCTGAACCCCCGAGATCGGGTGAGCTTCCGGGGTCTTTGCGGGGACAGAGACTACATTTGGGGTCCTCGGTCCCCAAGTGGCAGCCCTCGGAGGGAGGGAGCCCCTTGCAAAGAGCGCGGCAGTCTAGGGGAAGCTCAGGGCAGTGCAGAAGGCCTCCCTGCCTCCCCGGCAGCTTCTCACCCCACCGCACCCCTCCTCCTCCTTCCCACCAGTCGGGCGCAACGCCCCTCATCCTGGCAGCTCAGATGTGTCACACAGATCTCTGTCGCCTCCTCCTGCAGCAGGGGGCTGCTGCAGATGACCAGGACCTGCAGGGCAGGTGAGCTGCCCGCTGCCGAGCCATCTTTCCGTGCTGTGCTGTGCTGTGCTGTGCAGCCTCGGGAGGTCCCGCAGCCTCTCTGAGTGGGGGGTGGGGAAGGAGCGTGGTGAGGGGTCCAGTTGGCCTCTTCCTCCTCCTCCTGGCGTAGGGGTCCCGGAGTTTGCTCACCCCCCCAGTAGTCCCCCTTCCCTGACAGGACAGCTCTGATGCTGGCCTGCGAGGGCGCGAGCCCTGAAACCGTGGAGGTGCTACTGCAGGGCGGGGCCCAGCCGGGCATCACCGACGCGCTGGGCCAGGACGCGGCGCACTACGGGGCCCTGGCGGGGGACAAACTCATCCTCCACCTCCTGCAGGAGGCGGCCCATCGCCCCTCCCCACCGAGCGGTAGGGATCCCCGCCCCCGCACCCCTTCTGGACGGTTTCTCAGCACCCCCTTCCTTCACTACTGGGCATAGTCTCCTGTCTGCTGTGTTAGAAGCGGTTTCGTGGCACCCCCTTCTTCAGGCAGTTTCAAGGAACCCCAGAGCCTATAGGATGGTCTGGAGATCCACTCTGGTTTCCTGGAGCTTCCTTATTTTTAGGCTTTTGGCTGTCCTAAAAAGTGGCACCCCTACCCACCCCTACTGGCAAATGCCACTCTCCTATCCCTTTGGGAGTTTCAAGACACCCCCCCCCATCCTGTTGGAATGAATTCTTGCCTTCCAAGCCTTGATTCTGGGGGACTTGAGAGCCGCCCCTCGCCTGAGCCCCTGGCACCGGCGCCTGACCCGGCCTCCCTCTCTCCCCTTCCCGCAGAGGAGGACTCGGGCGAAGCTTCGTCTCAGGTAGGGACCGTAAGGAGCGCGGGTCCGAACCCTGGCGCACGCGCATGCAAGCCCGAGGGGCGCAGGGAGCAAGGATGCCCCGCCAGGGTCGCGCGGGGGACAGTCAAGGTTAGCCGGGAAGCGAACTTAGCTCTCAGTATGCTGCCACCAAGTGGCCGCCGCTGCCCCGACTCTAACTCCTCAGGCCCACAGAACCCTTGAGAGGTGGGGCGGGGACCTCTCAGCCCCACAGGGAAAAGATCATAGCTACTCTGGTCCGATAAGACTTAGAATTCAGCCAGGGGGTGGTGGCGCACTCCTGTGATCCCAGCCCTGGGGAGGCTGAGGCAGGAGGGTCGCTGCGAGTTTGAGGCCAGCCTGGGCTACACCGGGAGGCTCTGACTCCAAACAAACAGCAGATTTGGGACTTGGGGAGAAAGGGCTGCTGTCTGCCAGAACTGCTGAGTTAGAAGCCCGATAACTGAGGACAGGAGAGAGGCTGGGAGTGACCCAGAGCCCGCAGGACAGGGGTGGCCGAGCTGGGGCTGTGGGTGGGAGTGGACTGGCTGGGTGGGGCCCTGGGTAGGAGGCCAGGGTGGCCCCTGTCTGCCCACTTTTCCTTCTGTCCACAGAACTCTGTGTCCAGCCATGACAAGCGAGGGGGTCCTAAGAAGCGGAAGGCGCCCCAGCCTCCCGCCAGCATCCCTGTGCCGGTGAGAGATGCCCGGGCCTTGGGGAGCGCGGGCAGGGAGCCCGGGTAGGGCTCAGTGTCTGGCTGGGACACTGAGGGGCAGCCTCAGGCCTCCTCTAAAGGTGGTGGGTTCCCACGGGGGAGAGCACAGGACGATCGAGAAGCCTACGAGGAGATCGTGCGGCTGCGGCAGGAGAGGGGACGCCTCCTGCAGAAGATCCGGGGCCTGGAACAGCACAAAGAGCGAAGGAAGCTGGAGGTTAGGGGAGCAGAGGCTTAGGTGGGGAAAGACTCCCCTCCTTCCTTTCCTGCCTTCCCCTGCTCCACTCATGAGGCCTCCTGACTACTCCAGGCTCTGTGCTGCCCCAGGGCCTTTGCACTGGCTGCACCCTCGCCCCTGCTAGAAGTCTCCATGCCTCTTCCCAGACCTCTTTTGCTTACTTGAATATTCAAGTGAGGAAGTAAATGCATGGTCCCAAAATAGGACATGGCACACAGCAGAGGCCCAGTAAATGCCCGCAGTGATGGGTCGGAATGGTGTGAGCCGCACGCAGACAGTCATCGGTGGGTAGGGTGGGGGAGCCTCAGCGGGTGAGGCCCGGAGACCCCTGCCCGGGTCTGACCCTGTCCCCCCCCCCCTCCGTCTGCGTCAGCCACAGGAGGCAGAGGCCAGCTCACTGCACAGCCTGGAGAGACAGGTAGGGGCGGAAGGTGGGGAGCGGAGCGACTGCGGGGTCCCCCCACCACTCCGGGGGGGGGCACCTGAGCCAGCGGCCTTTGCCCTCAGGTGCAGGAGCTGCAGCAGCTGCTGGCGGAGAAGCAGGAGGAGAAGGAGAGCCTGGGACGCGAGGTGGAAAGTCTGCAGAGCCGGCTGTCCCTGCTGGAGGTGAGCCCGAGGGGGCGGGGCCAGGGCCTGGGGCGGGGCAGAGATTGGGGCGGAGCCAAAGCCAAGGGCTGGACCCAAACCAGGGTGAGTGGAGTCGGGCAAGGCCAGGGCTGGGCTCCAGCAAGCAGCAGTAGAGCCAGGGTGAGCAGGGCAAGGGTGGGCGGGGCCAGAGCCCGGTGGGTGGAGCCAGGGTGGATCATTGGGTGGGCCAAAGTCACGGTGGGTGCAGCCAGGGCGGGGGGGGGGGGTTATTGGTAGGCGGGGCCCGACCTTGAGTGGGTGAATGGCTAGAGGCGGGATGGGGTGGAGTCAGGGTGGGAGGAGGTCAGCTATGGAGAGCTGGGGGCGGAGCCTCTCCTGCTTCGGGGCCAACAGGACAGCCACCAGGCCTGTAACAGTTTCATGTCCGCGGAGCATCCTCGAAAACCCAGTCACCCGGATAACGCACCTGGAAACACACACACACACACACACACACACGCACGCACACACACACGCACACGCACACGCACACGCACAGGGCCAGGATGGAGGGCTCTCCAAACACATCCTTGTAAAGATGAACAAACATGCAAGAAACATGTTACACATACATCAGCAAACACGCGTATGAAGGCAGTTCTGAGTATGGGCAGCTGTCATCTCAGCACTCTGGGAGGCTGAGGCAGGAGGACCTCAAATTTGAGGCCAGCCTATACAACTCAGTGAGAGGCGGTCTCGAAATAAAAATAGCAGGAGCTAGGGATGTAGCTTAGTGTAAAGGCCCTGAGTTCAATCCCCTGCTCTCTCTCTCTCTCTCTCTCTCTCTCTATATATATATATATATATAGAGAGAGAGAGAGAGAGCGAGAATTGCTACAATTATATAGAAAAAAAAAAGATGGGCATGGTGGCCTGTAATTCCACCACTTGGAGGCTGAGGCAGGAGGCCAGCTTGGGCTACACAGTGAGCTCAAGGCCAGTCTGAGCTGCATAGAGATCCTGTCTAAACAAACAAACAAAGCAAAAACAAAATGGTTAAAAATGGGTGCATGGTGGGCTGGGGATTTAGCTCAGTGGTATAAGTGCCTGCCTTGCAAGCAGGCAGTTGTGAGTTCGATCCTTGGTACCGATAAAAAGGAAAAAGACAAAAAAAAAAATGGGTGCAGGGGGCTGGGGGGGCACTCAGGGGTGAGCACCTCCCTAGCATACACGGGTCCTGAGTTCATCCCCAGCGCTGCAAAAATAATGGGGAAGGACATAGTAGTTACCCAATAAAAAAAAAAAACACCCAGCAGTCCAGTACTCGGGAAGTTGTAGGAGGATGGAGGGGTGATTTGGGGGACAGAACCCTGAAGTGGGCCCTCCCCACTCCCAGAGTGAGCGAGAGAACACCAGCTATGACGTGGCCACCCTGCAGGACGAGGAGGGGGAGCTCTCTGATTTTCCAGGTGAAGCCCCATCGACCTCCCGGGCCCTGGGATTAGAGCTTGGAGCTTGGGGCGCAGAGGGTGGGTCACTCTCGTGGGGAAGGGAGTGTCTGCACATATCTGTAAGCTGCTCCACTTGGGCCAGCTCTGGGGGTGCTGGTGCCCCGCTCCACAGCCCCCGAAGTGCTGGCTGGAGCCCCAGGGCTAACTGTGCCCCACCCGCCCCCACCGCCAGGGCCCGAGGCCGCCCGGCAGCTCAGCCCCGCAGCCCAGGTGCGCCTGGCCTCCCTGCAGGAGCAAGTGGCTGCGCTCACCAGACAGAACCAGGAACTGATGGAGAAGGTCCAGGTGGGGAAACTGAGGCTGCTGACCGACCGAGGGCCTGGGATGGATGCAGAAGGTGTCGAGGCCCCCGTTCTCCCCACTGACTGCCTTCCCACCCCCAGATCCTGGAGAACTTCGAGAAGGACGACACTCAGCTGGCTGGGAACGGCGTGGCCGAGGTCGTCCCCCTGGTCCTCTACGAGTCCCTGCGGGCTGAGTTCGACCAGCTCCGGAGGCAGCACGCAGAGGCTCTGAGGGCCCTCGAGCAGCGGGAGGCCCGGGAAGTCCCCAGACAGGAAGAGGACAAAGACTCGGGGGCCTCAGAGACCCAAAATGGGCCACCTGACACAGAGGTGAATGGCACCGTGGTCCCAGAAACCAGAATTAATGGAGCTGAGAGTACAGACGAAGATGGGGCAGGCGGGGAAACCGCAGGAGCTGGGCCCGTGGAAGCAGCCGCCGAGGCCTCAGGGGCCGAGGGAGCCCAGGAGCAAGGGGCTGAGGCCACAGAAATCGAGACCGAGACCGGAGAAGAGGGAGAGACCATGGAAACTGAAGCAGCCACGGCTTCAGAGGCCACGGGAGCCGAGGCCGCAAGGATGCAGCCAGCAGTGAAGGCCAATGCAGCCGGCACCAGGGGAGCAGAGCTCGCTGCAAACACGGAGGCCACGGGAGCTAAGGCCACTGATGCAGGGACCACTGTCCTGGAGGCCACACCCGCCACAGTCCTTGCCGGGCCCATCCTGCACCCCGGCGCTGCAGAGGCCTCTGAGAAGCTGCAGTCCGAGCTGGAGACCAGGATCCGGAGCCTGGAGGAGGCGCTGCGGGAGCGGCAGCGCGAGGCGGCTGCTGAGCTGGAGGCCGCCCGGGGCAAGTGCCAGGCGGCGGAGGCCGAGGCAGGCAGGCTCCGGGAGCGGGTGCGAGCCGCCGAGGGCGCCGGGAGCCACGCGGGCGGCGAGGGCGGCAGGGGCAGCGGTGGCGGTGACGCGGCCCAGCTGCGGGCCGCCCTGGAGCAGGCCCGGGAGGACCTCCGCGAGCGGGACTCCCGCCTGCGCGAGCTGGAGGCGGCCGCGGCCTGGCTGGACGAGGCCCGGGCGGGCCGGCTGCTGGCCGAGGAGGAGGCCCGGGGCCTGCGGGCGGAGCTGGCCCGGCGGGAGGAGGCGCGGCTGGAGCAGAGCCGGGAGCTGGCGGTGCTGCGCGAGCAGCTGGCCTCGGCCACGGCCACGGCCGAGCGGCACCGGGTGGCGGCCGCGGAGCTGGGCCGGGCCCGGGACGCGGCCGAGGCCAGGGCCACCGAGCTGGCCACGGCGTGTGAGGGGGCGCGGCGGGGCCTGGCGGAGCTCCGGGAGGCCTCGGTGCCCGCGTGCGAGCACCACCGGCTGCAGCAGGAGGCCCTGGAGCTGCGGGGCCGCGCGGCCGGCCTGGAGCAGGAGCTGGTGGCCGCCGGCAGGGAGGCCGCCCGGCTGCGGGCCGAGCTGCAGCGCGAGCGCGTGGGCAGCGTGGCCCTCTCGGAGCACGAGCGCGTGGTGGGCGCGCTGCGGGCCGACGTGGCCCGGCTGGAGGGGCAGCTGCAAGAGCTGGCCCGGCGGCACGAGAAGACCAGCGCCGAGGTCTTCCAGGTGAGCGCAGGCGGGCCCGGCCGGAGCTGCCTGCACCCCAAGCCCTGGGTGTGGACCCGTCAGCTTCCACTGAGCACACATTCGGGCCTCTTGGTATTTCCAGGTGGACGTTTGACCTTGTAGCCACCCTAGAATTTCATCTCTCACTTGCTTTATTTTTTTGGTCCTGGGAATGAGACTCAAGGCCATTTGCCAGCCTTTTGTTTTCTTTCTTATTTTTTTGTACCAGGACTCGAACTCAGGACCCTGCACTTGCCAGGCAGGCTGCTTGTGCCACTGAGCTGTATCCCTGGCTTTCTATGATTCATTTTCTAATCTCTACTTGGTTTTAGCTGAAAATCAAACATGTCTAATCTCTAGGTTTGGTGCTTGTTATGCACAATTTCTGTACTGCTTTTCTTTCTTTTTTTTGTTAAGCAATGAGTTGGATTTATTTCTCTCTGTGTATTTATTTAGCATCCACTTTCATTAGTGGTCATTTTTTTTTTTTTGATAGTGGGGATCCAATTTACAACCTCGCACTTGCCAGGCAGGTGCTTATGCAGCTAAGCTAAACCCTGAGCCCCATTAGTGGTCATTTTGACCCTGTTCCAGCTACTTACGAGACTGAGGCAGGTGGATCATGAGTTCAAGACCAACCTGTGCAATTTAGTGAATTAGTGAGAACTTGCTTCAAAATTAAAAATAAAAAAGGGCTGGGGATATAGCTTAGTCCAAAGGCCCTGAGTTCAACTCCAATGATATATAGAGAAAAAAACTGTAGCTCCCAACCTGCTGGATGTCACAGAGGCCAAGTTCCTGTTCCTGGATGTTAGACAATGAATTCTAAGAAACAATGGAGATTAAGAATAGAAAAATTAACCCGGGTGGGGCTGGGGGTTTAGCTCAGCCGCATAAGCGCCTGTCTTGCAAGCAGGCAGTCGTGAGTTCGATCCCTGGTACTGATAAAAAGGAAAAAGACAAAAAAAAAAAAAAAAAAAAAAAAAAAAAAGAAATCAAATGCAGCACTTACCAGCTGCCTGGTACCAACATAAACATATTTCACTTCTTGCTTCATGGTGTACACATAATTCACGTCATCCTCATCGTAGTGGGGGGAACCGTGGCCCAGAGAGGTTAATCCACTTGCCCGAGGACACACAGCTCGGGGGTCGGAGGTGGCCGGCATGGTGGGAATGTCCGTAGGCCCCAGGGGAGACCGGGAGGTTGACCTGTGGCTGGAATGTCCTCGGCACAAAGCAGGAGGCTCAGGACACCTGGCCCTGGAGTTTTTGGGGACCGCGTGCCCTGAGCATCCTCTGCGGGCGTGGGCCGCAGGTGCAGCGGGAAGCTCTGTTCATGAAGAGCGAACGCCACGCGGCTGAGGCCCAGCTGGCCACGGCGGAGCAGCAGCTGCGGGGGCTCCGTACCGAGGCGGAAAGGGCACGCCAGGCCCAGAGCCGAGCCCAGGAAGCCCTGGACAAAGCCAAGGAGAAGGACAAGAAGGTGAGTGTCTCCCCCATGATGGGTCTGAGGGTCCCCACTTGGCAGAGATTGGAAAGAGTCTAAGGGTGACTCAAGGAAGAGGGAAACCACGGATGGGCGTGGTGGTGCGTGCCTGTCATCCATCCCAGCACTGGGAGGCTGAGGCAGGAGGATCTTTGCTGGTTCGAGACCAGCCTGAGCTACACTGTGAGCTCAAGGCCAGCCTGAGCTGCATAGTGAGACCCTGACTCCGACAAGAAAGAGGGAGGCTGAGACCCAGAAAAGGAGGCCACGCCAAGGCTTCTGCTCTTCTACTTAGGACCGCAGTCACACTTCTTCTGGGCGCCCTGAACTCCAGGCCCTGGCTCTGCATTTCACATGGAGTGATCACTGAATTCTCATCAGATCCCCACACACGTGCCTCGGGTTCTGTTTTATTTTGTGAGACACAGTCTCACTCCGTATCTCTCCACGGAGCCCAAGCTGGCCCTGGACTCTGGCGATCCTCCTGTCTCAGCCTCCCCAGTGCTGAGATGACAGGCGAGCGCCTCTGCCCAGCTCTGGGTGCTTTAATGATTCCCATTTGAGAAATCTGGGCACGGAGAGGGAATCCACTCAGCCAAAGTCACACAACCGTGCAATGGTTCAGCAGGGTTTTAACTCGGGCTCCCAAGTTCTGGTCTTTTCTTTTCTTTTTTGTTTTGTTTTTTTGCTGCTGGGTTCCAACCCCAGTGCTGCTACATAAAGAAACAACAAACTAAACACCGCTAAGTGTGAGACAGCCACACCAGGAAAACTGGCAAGGGTCAAACTAGGGCTGGGCACGGGCTGGAGTTGGGGAGCCCCGAGCTGTGCCATTCCTTAGCAAGCCTGGAGCCACTTCCCGCTGGGGTGACCCCTCCATCCCCACCTGCAGATCACAGAACTCTCCAAAGAAGTCTTCAGCCTGAAGGAGGCCTTGAAAGAGCAGCCCGCCGCCCCCGCCAGCCCCGAAGTGGAGGCCCTCCGCGGCCAGGTGAAGGCTTTGCAGCAGCAGATGGCGGTGAGCTGCACTGGGACACTCTGGGGGCGGGGTGGGGCGGGGCCATCTGGCGCATGCGCAAAGCAGACTCGCAGCGCCCTCCCTGGTGATAGCGCCACCTATCGTGCAATGCGGCTCTGGGTGTACTTTGGGGTCAGGGAGGGGAGGGCTCCTGCTTCACTGAGCACCCCACCCCCATGCCACAGGATGCCGCCCGGGACCACTGTGCCGTGGTGGCTTTGTACAGGAGCCACCTGCTCTACGCCATCCAGGTGAGTGGTGCAGACGCCCAGCTGCAAATCGACCAATCTGGTGCCGCTTCTGCTGCTGCCTTGGGACCTCAGTTTCCCCTCTAGAAGGCAGGAGGGTGGCCCAGGCAGAGAGATACTCGGGGCCTGTCCCTCCTAGCTGCACGCACCTTAAGCTGGGGCGGGGGTGGGGGTGTGTGCCGAGGGCCCTGGGAAGCCGGACAGGGGCGCCAGGGTTGCCCCCCCTCTGCTCCCGGCCCAGGGTCAGATGGATGAGGATGTGCAGCGGATTCTCACCCAGATCCTGCAGATGCAGCGGCTGCAGGCGCAGGGCCGCTGAGGACCGGTTTTGCCCGCCCCACACTGCCACCGTGCCTCTCGGCATTTGGGGACCAGCCTAGGACCCACCCTAGCAGGCAGCATCACCCCTTGTGGTCCCTACACACACATGCGCGCGCACACACACACACACACACATGCACACGTGCGCGCGCGCGCGCACACACACACAGACACAGACACACACACACACACACACACACACACACACACACACACACGGGTCAGACTGGCACCCCTCCCTCCCCACCGGACAATCTGTGAATCACGAGCTCCTGCCCATGTCTCGTCCTCAACACCAATGCAGGAATAAACCAATACTGTGAGCCAGGCCTGGTGGCGCACGCCTGTCATCCCAACACTCAGGAGGCTGAGGCAGGAGGACTGCTGCAAGTTCGAGGCCAGCCTGGGCTACAAAGTGAGCTCAAGGCCAGCCTGGATTGCATAGAGACCCTGACTCAAAAATAAATAAATAAATAAATAAATAAATAAATAAAATAACCATTTTGTGCACAAGAACAAGGTGTGTGTGGCCTGCTGCTGGGTGCCCATTGCAGGGACAGGGTGGGGTGGCCCATGGCAGGAAGACCTCACCTCCTGGGCCCCAAACTCAGGCCAGTGCCAAAGAACCAGGGACTTCTCATCTGCCATAAATTGAAGAATTAGAATCTTACAACAGATTCAAGCTTCCAAAGCCAGCTACACTAGGAAGATGTCTCTGAGTAGTAATTTTGTGACTACATAAAATGCTGGCCGTACAGCTGCTTGCCATAAGCATGTCACAGGCATCAACCCAGGGATTAAATTTTAAAAAGTAGAAAATAAAAAGATACTTTAAGAAGATGCAACCTCAAATTTCCAGTGGTAACAGTGGAAATAAAAAAGCAGAACAAGGCCCTGGAAAATATCAAATTCCAAGTAATCTGTCAGATCACTACAGAGAGGGTGACCATGATGGAACACATACTTAGTGACTGTAGAGCAGATACAGAAAAAACAATGGAGTTTAGCTGGGTGTGGTGACACACACCTGTGATCTCAACACGTAGGAGGCTGAGGCAGGAGGATCTAGCAAATTCGAAACCCACCTGGGCCAGTGTCCCTGCTGGGTCCTCCCCCTGCCCAGGACGCATCAGGAAATCCCCAGGGACAGACTGGATCCGCTCAGGGAAGGAATTCCCACCAGCTGCCTCCGCTCCCCTGGCCAGAAGGACCAGAAGTGACCTGTGGGGATTTTGGGGGACTTGCCAGTGGGGGCAGGGCCAGCTGTGCTGCGGTTTGGGGTCGGAGAGAGAAGAGGTTGATTAAGAATTGGGGGGTGCGTGCAGTGGGGCACAGCGGTGACCCTGGACTCCAGGCAGCTGAGACCCTGTCTCAAAATTAAATAAAAATATGTTTTTGAAAGAATGTAAAGGGTTGGGGATGTAGCTCAGGGCAAAGATCCCGCGTGAGTCCCCAGTACCACTGCCACCCCCACCAAAAAAAGACAAAGGAGAGAAACAGAAAAAGGACATTAGGGTTGCTTTAATTCTGGTAACTGGGATTTTTTTTTTTTTTTTTTTTTTTACTTTTTACGTTATTGGTACATTTTAGATATACATAATGATCACAGTCTTTGTGTGTGTGTGTGTGTGTGTGTTTTGAGACGGGGTCTCCTATGCCATTCAAGCCCCCCCACACCCAGCTGGTCTTTTGCGTCTCTGCCTTCCTGGTCCCCGTGTTTCTCGGTGTCCTCATCCCCTTCCTGGGGTTCCCCTGTCATTGCTGCTCCCGGAAGGAAGGGCCTCGCTCGCCCCGCTGTGCTGGGAAAGGCCACCAAGGTCACTTCTCCCTTTCTGGACCTCCTCCCTGCCCCCGCCCTCAGGGAACTCCACACCCCGGCTGGGTGTCGCTGAGGGCACTGGGAACCTCTGCCACCTACCTGCACACCCTCCACAAACCCGGCTGGTGAGTCAGCCCTGGGGGACCGGCGTGGCACTGGGTTTTCCCCACCGGGGTCCCCGGCCTCCTGGCCTGGCCTCCATGTCCCCACCCGAACCCTGGGACAGCGGGAGCCACAGAAGCCTGCACCATGACCTCGAGGCTGCTGCTGGCCCTCGCCCTCTGCAGTGGCTGCCTGCCCTGTGCTGGAGAGAAAGGTATGGGGGACCCCTGAGATGGGGGACCCAGGAGGAGGGACATTCTTGGGGACTCCACCTGGATTTTAGCCTGGGATCAAAAATGTTAGGGGCTAACTGGGTGTGGGGGCGCAGGAGGCTGAGGCAGGAGGATCACCTGGAGGTCGAGGCCAGCCAGGGCTCCAGAGTGAGCTCAAGGCAGCCTGAATGGCACAGGAGGGATTTCCTCTCCTGCCTGGTCCTTCTGGCTCGCTCTTTGCTTCCTTTCTTCCTTCCTTCCTTCCTTCCTTTCTCTTTTTATTTTGCTGGCTCTTTCTTTAAAGGAAATTAAGTCCTGAGGACCGGACCAAGCCCTTGTTGATGCCAGCCCTTTGTAAGTTTTTAAAAATTTTGTAAAAAGGGTCTTCTTTTGTAGTCCTGGCTGGCCTGGAACTTGAGATCCTCCTGACTCAGCCTCCTTAACAGCTGAGATAACAGTTCTGTGATACCGAGCCCAGCTTCCTGGCCCCTGAAGCCTCAGTTTCCCTGTCTGGGGAATGAACTGACGGTCCCTGACGGGACTCTGGGAGTCTCGGGGTGAATCTGAAACATGCTCCTTCTGTTTTTAGGGGCTCCAGGGGCTCTGAGCCAGCCTCAGGTACGGTGCTGGGCCTCCAGGTACCCGGTGGCCGTGGACTGCTCCTGGACGCTGCCACAGGCCCCCAATTCCACCACCGCGGCAACCTCCCTCATCGCCACGTACAGGTCAGAGGGGCTGAGAGGGAGGGCTGGCCGGACGGGCGGCTTTCGGGAGAGGTCTGAGGCTGGCTGTGGTGACCTGGGGTGTCCCAAACCCCAAATCCAGCACAGTGATGGCCAAAAGAAAAACACATCCTGGCTGGGTGTAGTGGGAGTACCTGCCATCCGAGCACTGGGGAGGCTGAGGCAGGAGGGTCTCGCAGGTGAATGTCTGAAGCCACCCTGGCCAATGCGGTGGGAGCCTGGCTCCAAATAAAATTTTAAAAAGAGCTGGGGTGCGGTTCAGTGTGGGGCGCTGGTTCCATCCCCTGTAATAAAGGAAGAAAGAAAAAAAATCACGGGTGATATTCAGTATCTAACTTAAATAGGATCTAAATATTACAATATTTACCATTTAATATAATTTCACACAATTGTATTTAATGTTTACATCTTTCTTTATATTTGATTCACGAACTCATATTGATAATATAAATTAATATCACATGAGATGAATGTACAAAATATTAGTTTCTTTTTTGGCATGGTTTTCTGGGTTTTCCTTTTTTTGTTTGTTTCTTCTTTCAAAATATGAGTTTCAGCTGGGCGTGCAGCTCAGTAATGAGCACTTCCTTAACTTGGTAAATTACTTGGGTTCCATCTCCAGCATGCCAAAAATAACAAGTATGTAAAAGGAAATAAAATATTATGAGCCTGAGAAAAACTTCAAGCACGCGACATTCTGCTGGTCTCGGGTGTCTTAGGTCAGTCGAATGCAGAGGTCCTGTGCTCTGGGTGAATGATTTGGGGTGCAGGGCCCCTGTATGCACCAGCGCTGCCCCCTGATTGACGTGTTTGGAAATTGCTGTTCATTTTTTTCTCTTTGAAATAAAATGGATTTGAAAAAAAATAGTCTAATGTCAGATGTCTCATTGCCTGGTCTGGGTCTAAGTTTAATCACAGCTACTCAGGAGGCTGAGGCAGGAAGATCTCAACTTCCCAAGCAATCCTGAGGTGCTTAGCCAGACCCTGTCTCCAAATAAAATTTTTCTTTTTTTTTTTTGGCCAGGATCTTGCTATGCAGTCCAGGCTGGCCTTGAGCTCACTTTGCAGCCCAGGCTGGTCTTGAACTCACAACGATCCTCCTGCCTCAGCCTCCCCAGTGCTGGGATTACAGGCATGAGCCACCACGCCCGGCTCTAAATAAAGATGCTTAAAAAGACTTAGAGATGGCAGCGTAGCTCGGTGGTCGAATTCTTGCCTAGTGTGTCCTGGTCTTTAGGTTTCATGCTGGATACTGCAGAAATGACAATTGTAAAAATAAAAAAACACTGGTTTTAGGATGTCCAAATGGAGGGTTCTAGTTCGGATTCGGAGTCTGTGAACTCCCTGACCGGCCCAGTGGCTGGGACTCAAAATTTAGAAGGGAGTTGCCAGGTGGTGTGAGCGCCGGAGCTGAGCCCAGCACCCGGGAGGCCGAGGCGGGGCGGATCCGAAACCCCAGACAGAGGTGGGGGGACCCTGCCTCTCACCTGGGGTCCGGGCACCGGGACCTCACGATGCCCCCATGGCCCGTGTCCAGGCTCGGTGTGCAGGGCGAGAGCCGGCCCTGTGTGCAGCCCAGCCCCGGGGCGCCAGGCTGCTCCATCGCGGACATCCAGCTGTTCTCCATGGCGCCCTACGTGCTCAACCTCACCGCCGTGCACCCCGCGGGCGCCCGCAGCACCTTGGTGCCCTTCGTGCCCGAGCGCATCAGTGAGTCCCCCCCCCTCCCTTCTCCAAGGGCCCCCACCAGAGGGCGCCCGTGAGCCCTGCAGGAGGCCCTGTGCAGCCTCTGCCTACAGCCCTCCATGGCTCCCAGCTACCCCCGTGCAAGTTCTCCCCGATTAAATCAGCCCCGTCACACACCAGCCCCAGAAGGACAGCAGCGTGGGACCCCACAGATAGGAAATAACCCAGGACAGGGGCTCCACCCGCCGACAGGAAGTGGATCTATTGGGGCTGAGGGCTGGGAGGGCAGGGGGTGCTGCTCACAGGGACAGAGCCTCCTTCCAGGGGCAGAAGGTTCTAGGGTCCCATAGGGTTCTGGGATTAGAGGCCATGTTCGCAAAGCTCTGAGAATGCACTAAACACACCTGCATGGGACTCTTTAAAATGGTGACTTTGGTTATATGTGGCCCCAAAAATACTGTGGGGTTGGGCGTGGTGGCGCACACCCATCATCCCAGCACTTGGGAGGCTGAGGCAGGAGGATTTCCCAAAGTTCAAGCGGGCTGGGGTGTAGTCCCGTGGGAGGTCTCGGGTCTCTCCCCCTTCTCGCCCCCCACAGGGAGGGGAAACACAACACTGTCCTTCCTGCCGCCCTCCAGTCAAACCCGACCCTCCGGAGGGCGTGCGCTTGAGCCCCCTGGCAGGGCGGCAGCTCCAGGTGCGGTGGGAGCCTCCTCGGTCCTGGCCCTTCCCGGACATATTCTCTCTCAAATACCGGATCCGCTACGGGCGCCTCGGAGCCACGCACCTCCGCCAGGTGAGGGAGCCAGAGTGGGAAGGGCAAAGAGGGTAGGGGAATAGCTCCCGAGGGCCGGTAGGAGACACACACAGTGCAGTCCATCCACACACTGGAATATTACGCAGGCAGGAAAAGGGCGAGGCTGTCACGCGCCAGACCTCAGCCACCTGGTACTCAGTGAGCGCTGCGGGGTCATAGGTGGTCGCTGCCACTCACAGCCTAGGCCTTGGGTTCTTAGTTTAGATTGGCTGTTTGCCCTATTTTGTGAATGACCCTTGGTGCTCTGCATGTGCGGGTTCTTCAGAAGCTGGTTCAAGGAGCTGGGGATAAAAATATTCAGAAAAAGCCAAGTGTGACAGCGCACACCTGTGATCCCAGGGCTGGGGAGGCTGAGGCAGGAGGAGCACCAACCTGGGCTATATAGTATATTCAAGGCCAGCCTGAATTACCTAGTGAGACCCTGTCTCAAACAAAACAAAACAAAATAAAACAAAACAACACAACTAACAAACCACATCCAGCCACTGCCTGGGCCAAGTCAGGTCCAACTCAGGAGAAAATGCTTATCTTAGAAACCTGTGGGAGGGGCTGACGTGGCTTGGGGCAGGTAACACGCACTGGGGAAACTGAGAGGGCACAGGCAGGGTCAAAAAAGTCACAGATGGGTGGGTGTCACTGGTAGCAGCAGGATTTACTTTACAGAGGAACTTAGGGAGGCCTAGTGATTTCCCAAACAACCTGCCAGGTCATGGTGATTTTCCAAACACCATGACCGGGTTTTTCCCCTCTATTATTATTTTTAGTGGTGCTGGGTACTGGGTACTGGGTACTGGGTGCTGAGTGCTGGGTGCCGGGTACTGGGTGCTGGGTACCAGGTACTGGGTGCTGCATGTTGAACCTGTCACCAGGCAAATGTCCTATCGCCCTGTCTTTTTTATTAACATTTTATTTAGAGATCAAAGTTGCCCAGGCTGGTTTCCAACAGGAGGTCCTCATGCATCAGTCTGCAGACTCTGGGCTTAGAGGGCTGTGTCTCCAGGCCTGGCAGTTTCCATCTTTTCCTCACCGGCCCTGGTGATGAGATTTCAGCCCGGGCCCAGGGAGGTAGCTCAGCGGCACAGCCCCTGCCCCACAAGCGCCAGGCCCTGAGCGCTCCCCTCTCTCCTCCACCCTCCACCCACTTCCTCTCTGCTTGCAGGTGGGCCCCATTGAAGCCACCTCCTTCATCCTCAAGTCCCTGCGGCCCCGGGCCAGGTACTGCGTCCAGGTGGCTTCCCGGGACATCACAGATGCTGGACAGTGGAGTGACTGGAGCCCTCCGGCCGTCACCCCCGAGGCCCCGGGGCAGTAGTGGGGGCCTCCCCGTACCTGTAGAGGGCCTGGCCTCTGACTGACTGCTGCTGTCTGCTGGGAGTGGATGGGACCCTTCTGGCCTGGGATCTGGCCTGGACTTTGCTGCCGCCCAGCTGCTGAGCCCACCTTGGCCAAGTGACTTTGCCTGTGAGCCTCAGTTTCCCAATCTGTGGAATGGGATGTATGCTCCCTTTTGGTCATGGTGCCACTGCCAATGGCAGGTACTTTTAACAAAGTGAACTTCGAAAAGCGTGGTTTGTGCTGGGTCTTTCCTGTATCTCTCTCGTCTGTGCTGATGTAGGATTAGCTGTCCATCCTGGCCTAGAAAGAATGTGGCTGTCGGCTAGAAATCAAGTGACACCAAGTGCTGGCAAGGCTTTGGGGAAAAGAACCTTGCCACACTGCCAGTGGGGTGGCAAGCCAGCAGCACCTTGATTCACGGTACCTAAATGAATAAGGAGAAAAATAAACCAGCACGGCTACCACACCCAGCCAGGATGCAGATTCTGTAAAAAAACCAGAACTAGAAATTCCATGCGAGCCTGGCATGGTGGCTCACGCCTATAATCCCAGCACTCCGGAGGCTGAGGTGGGAGGATCGTTGTGAGTTCGAGACCACTATGGGCTACACAGTGAGCTCCAGGCCAGCCTGAACTACACAGCGAGAGCCCGTCTCAAAAAAAAAAAAAAAAAATCTCCCGCTGGGGAAGCAGCTCAGTGGTGTAAAAGCCTGCCTGTAAAACACTAGGTCCTGAGTTCGATTCCTCATACCAAAAGAAAAACGGTATTTTTGTATTGTCTCACTAGAGTGTGAAGCTAAAATAAACAATATTTGTATATCACAATGTATATACCACTGTTACCCCCTAATTATAATCATTATTATTATTCTCATGACCTTGAGCTTTCCGGCAAGGTGCTCATGCAGCTAAGCTAAATCTGCAGCCCCTCCCCCCTCATGATTGTGTTTTTGAAACTTTGTTTCATTTTCTTTTCTCTTTAAAATAAAATAGATTTGAAAGGAAAAAAGAGTGTATTTCTACTTGTTTCCTCATTGGTTTCACTTAACATGATGGTGCCAAGGTGCACCCAATGAGCTAGAATCTAGGTCTTGAGTTTATCCTTCTGTATGGCAGCATAGTATTCCGATGTGTGTTAATACAATGTGTGCTCTGTCCATCCATCTACAGGCTGCTCTCAGTGCTAGTTCATATCAGTTGTGCCGCTATGAACGTGGGTGTGCATGCGTGCGTGCGTGCGTCACTGTTCCATGACGTCACTGGCTTTCGGAAAGGGGAGGAGCCAGGTCCTATGGAATTTCTTTTTTTTTTTTTTTTTTTAGCAATTTTTTTGGTCTCTTTTGAGACAGGGCCTTGCTAGGCAGTTTGTATCCCAGGCTGGTCTCAAACTCCCAAGATCCTCCTGCGTCAGCCTCCTGAGTGCTGGGATTATAGGCGTGAGCCACCACGCCCAGCTGAGATGCTTATTCTTAAAGAGTACATGGTTTAGAGCTGGGCGTGGTGGTGCAGGCCTGTAATCCCAGCACACCAGAGGCTGAGGCAGCAGGATCCTTGTGAGCTCAAGGCCGACCTGGACTACATAGGGAGACCCTGTCTCAAAAAAAAAAAAAAAAATCCGAGAAAACTAAAAGATAGAGGAAATAGAGAGAGAGATCCTTGGTGAATGGGGAGGGCATCATGATGGAGAGAGAAAGGGTGAAGGAGATGGAACAAACGGATTACAATGTGTTCAAAACCTGTCCCAACTCCCCAAGGTGACTGTGTTCATCGAAAACACAGACCAGAAAAAAAAGAGCCAGGTGTGGCAAGCACGCCTGTCATCCCAGCCCTCTGGGAGGCTGAGGCAGGCAAAAGCTCAAATTTCAGCCCAGCCTGGGCACCTTAGTGACTTAGGGAGACCTTGTTTCAAAATACAAACATGGAGAAAGGGCTGGGGATGTAGTTTACTATGAAGGTTCTGGTTTCAATCCCTAGGACAGAGACAGGGAGACAGAGACAGACAGAGAGGAAGCAGAGAGACCCCGTGTCCACATCCTCCAAACAGGGCCACTTCCTAAGCGGTACAAACTGTTATAACTTGAGCCCCGGTATAAAATCCAAGGAGGCAAGAGACCGAAAATTTAGTGGCAAAGGCTTTATTTCCAGGCCTGGCGACCAGTCTCCGGGAGCCAATTTGGAGACTCCCCTAGAAGCTGAAGGGAGGACTTTAAAGAGGGGCTGGAGGCAAGGGCGGGGGGAGAGAAACAAAGAAACCTGCAGAGCCATCAAACTTGTTGACCCGAGTCTGGAAACTGTATTGCTGTCCACTTAGCTCTGACAATCTAGGGAGTTTCTGGTGTTTTTAAAAAATTATTTCCATCCTGCAGACTGACATTATCTCAGAGTGGCACGTCTGCAGCAATATTTGGAGAAGAAAGTGGACAGTTAATTATCTCAGGACAGCTTGTCTTCGCTAGTGAGTGCGAAGGGGTCATGAGTTATGAGACGCTGGAACTTAAGTTTTACGAAGACCTGATATCTAACTCATTTGATACATACAGAACAAAAGGAACGCACCGATTGGGGTTTGGGCCATAGTATTACCCGGTAATTTGTTTAAGCTAAGCAGTTCTTAAAATTGGGGCAGGCTCATTTTACAACAGATCATCACCGGGTCAGGGGGAGGTCACCAGAAACCCAAATTCTTTATGGCCTAGATAGATAGGTAAGGGGAGAGGGAGGCAATAAGGCGCCATACAGAACAGAAAACGGCGGTAATGTGTCAAGGTCAGGGTAAAGGGTTAAACTCACACGCAAATCTCTCTGCACACAAGCAGGTTACTTTAAACAAATGTAAATTAATTGCCATTCTAGTTTTCCTTAGCTCTTTAGCGGAGAATAGAGGCTACTAGCAGTGATTAACAACCCTTGTTAGCTTGTTTTAGCACAGCTTCTGTAGTTTGTAGAGAGCAACAATGGTTAACATATCAATTAGGTGAGATTCTTGCAATTCTTTACAGAGGAGAGTGTTGCTCAACAGATCAATTAGGTCCCTTAACATATCAGTTAGGGAAAAAGGATAAAACAAACACATTTAGTAAGCCCCTATACAGGTTTGCTATAATACACATATAACAAAGCTATTTTCTTAGGGTACAACACAAACCTAACAGCAGAAGCAGCCCCGGGTGAGCACAGCCCGCACCTCAGGAGGAGCATGTGGCAGAACTGGGGAGGCTGAGGCAGGAGGATCTCTGAGTATTCGAGGCCAGCCTGAGCTACATAGTGAGGTCAAGGTCATAGAGAGTTCAAGGTCTGCATAGTGAGACTCTGCCTCAGGCAAACTAAAACAGAAACTCACCCACGTGGCCCCTGCCCACAGCTGCCACGGGACAAGAGGTTCTCGGAAGCTCTCTCTGAGGAGCAAGAAACAGCCGAGCCTAAATCCACTGGGCCTGTCTGTGAGTTTCACCCAGCTCTCAGCTCAAAAGTCACCGATGAGGAGAAGCCCCGTGAGCCCTCTGTGGTTGGCAGAGCGACAACCCTCAGAGACAGTAACACCCTGGGAATACAGTTACCTGCCACAGCCAGAGGGCCCTCCCAGGTGTGCCTCATGGCAAACTCTTGAGGCGCCTTAATGATGACAGACCTTTGAGTCAGTCAATGAAAATCCGCCAGGCTGGTGGCACACATCTGAAACTCCAACACTCGGGAGGCTGAGGCAGGAGGATCCAGGCGGGGGTCAATCCCCTGTCTCAAAAACACAAAAACAACACAAATCAAAAGTGCTGGCGAGTCCAAGGGAAAAGAGGGACTCTTCTGACTCTTTGGCCGTAATGTAAACTAGTGAAGTACTATGGAAATTGATGTGAAGATTCCTGAGAAAATTAAAACTAGAAATTCCATTTGAGCCTAAGCAAGGAGTACAAACCATAGAATAGTTATGAAAGGAGAGACGAGGCTTGGGAATGAATGAGTGGGCTGCCCTGATCAAAAGGAAGACACAGACAGACAGTGGCAGGACATTTGTGTGTTTGGAGACTGATCTTTATTTATTTTTTATTTTGAGACAGGGTATCACTATGTAAGCCAGGCTGGCCTTGAACAAGCCGCGATCCTCCGCCTTGGCCTCCCAAATAGTTGAAACCCACAAGATTCCCGGAACCTTTATTTCGTGTTACTGAAGTTGCAACTCCGGAGGGAATACGGACGGGCTCACCGTTTTGATAAATTGACATTCTAGCCAATGGCAAAGGTAGCTATGTGTGTCGTAGCGAATCAGAGGCTGGAGGAAGTGACGTTTACGGAAGTGCAAGGCGGTGCTAGAGAAGCTTGTTACACACCTGATGAGTTCTCCGGAGCCGTCAGAAGAGGAGGCAGCCAACATGTCGGAGCGCAAAGTTCTAGTTGTCAGTGACTGCCCGTCTTAAAGGCGACATGGCGGCACACACCTCTCATCCCAGCACTCTGGGAGGTCGAGACAGGAGGAGCCTCAGCTCGGGCCCAGCCTGGCTTACAGAGTGAGGCCGTGTCTTGAAATAAAAACTGGGAAGGACTGGGGATGGAGCTCAATGTGACGGTGCTGGGTTCTGTCCTCGGTATGGGAGGAGGGGGGCGTCAGGAGTCTCGGTGCCAGCCAGAAAGGGACTTGGTGACCAGGTCCCCAGGAGCTGCCCAGGTAGCAGGATCTCACGTGTGTTGTCGTTGTTCTTTGGGGAAATCAGATGACCCAGTGACCTCCAGGGAGAATGATGTGGAAGGTTGCTCCGTCCCCTCACCCCATTTGGCCGAGCCTGATGGGTTTGGTTGTGGTTGAGCACAGCAGTCAGCACCCAGAGAGGCTGAGACCAGTGAGGTCTCCCTGCAAATTACCGAGCTTGGGGTGCTCCTGGATGCCCCTTTTCCCTCTGCCCATGTCCTCCCCTGCCAGCCCTGAGTGCTTCTCCCCCGCTGCAGAAATACTACCCGCCGTATTTCAACCCCTCGAAGATCCCCCAAGCTCAAGCGGCCCAAGGACTGGCAGTACCTGGTGCGGCTTATGTCTCCCTTGATGTGTCGGTCATTCAGAGGGACTGGACCTGTGACCTCTCAGGTGGCCAGTGCTGGTCCAGGCCTTGCTCCCCCACCCCAGGACTAAAGGCCCTGAGCTCCCAGAATCCCCCAGGAGCACCACCTGCTGCCTGAGTTCGGAGTCACGGAATCACTGGGTGTTGGCTGCAGCAATGGGGCCTTGTGGGCATGCCTGTGCCCCCTCATGGCACAGGTGAGCCTGGCTCTGCCTCAGGGCCTTTGCACTCACTGCAGTGTCTACCGCAGCCCCGAATGCCCAACTGCTGACTGCCCGTGCAATCCTGTATTATCTTTACCCCCAGACAGGCCAACATCCTCTGCCTGAGCCTGCTCCCTTCACATCTGTGATCCCCCAGCCCCGGATCACACAGCTGGTTTACTTTCAAAGTCTCCACAGGCTCATTCCCAGCCAGGCAGAGCCCTTTGGTTTTTTTTTCCACTTTGATTTTTCAAGACAGGGGCTTGCTGTGCAGCTCAGGCTGGTCTCTCATTCACTCCTTCCCATGCCTCAGCATCCCAAGGGCTGGGATTCAGGCGTGTGCCACCACAACCGGCTTCTAAGTCTCCTTTGGACCAGCGAAACTCAGAAAGTCTCTGTGTCCACCTGGCTGTTCTCTGTTGATTCTGCAGCTTCCATTTCTTGGGAACCTGCTGTGTGCCACGTCCACACTGCACACCAGGGACCTAAATTCATCCTGGGGTTGTCTCACATTCAGTGAGACCTGGAAGTCGGAGGGGAGGGCATGACTGGCCTAGTCGGAGAGGGAAGGCGTTCCAGCCAGGATGGGGGTGATGTCGGAAGCTGAGGCCTGGGGAACAAAGTGTCATAGGCTGCAGATGATGCCGTGCAAAGGCCCTGGGGTGAGAAGAATTTGCGGCATTTGCTGGCACAGTAGGAGCTTAGGATCTAGGCAGCTGGGAGGAGGGAGGCCAGGCTGGCAGAGCCTTGGTGAGTGATGC